GCCAACGGCACTTGTGACATCCATACTCATCTCGCCACTCTGATCGTCACTTTCATCTTCGATCTCAACGTCATTCTCCTGCTTCGCTGGCAGCGAAGCTGCGTAAGGGTCCAGATTTTCCGGGTCAAGCATCTCATCGTTTGCGATTTCATGAGCTCGACCTTGTGCCCAGTTTTGAAAAGCATTTGTCACGGTGCCGGTGACCATCTCCATTGGAAAGTCCTCGCCATGCTCGTCATACTCTATGCCGCGGGTTCCAGCTTGATCGGCCGCCTGCCGGAGGCGTTCTTCCAGACTGGAAGGAGTGCTTGATCCTGAATCTTCAGAAGCTACGGTGTGTGACGTGCCATCTTCCAGACTCATTGCAGTATCGCCGTCTGTGTCTGACTCATCGGAAGACTCAATACCTTCCTCAACGCGGACAGGGCTGCTATCGGTGGTGACATCACCTGAAGGACTTGAAGAATACATCGACTCTTCAACATCATCCAGCATGGGCTCCGCGAGGCCTGAGCTTCTGCGTCGGCGTTTCTTTTGGCTAACATTGCTCTGTTTCGCAGGAGACTCCTTGACAAGCAGCTCCCCTGTCAGCTCAGCAGGGGTTGAAGACGCATTTGCTGTTTCGGGCGATCCTATCGATTTGATAGGGGATTGCGCTGCTGTCATCGAAGATTGCCTTCTTGTAGAGTTTGAGGCTGAGCTTGTTGTTGAGTCCTCTGCGAGTTCCATGACACTCCATGTGTGCAAAGTAGCCTCTGGTGCGAACGAAACCCTTCGGTTCGCCAGGGATTTTCGCCTCGCAGCTCTTCGTTCCAATATAGCTTCCTTCTCTGCCAGCCGCTTCCGCTCTTCTTCCTGCTGGCGTTCCAGGACTTCCGCACTTCCACTTGCTCCGTCAGTCTTCCTCGGGGATCGTCGCACGATGGGACTAAATGGGTCTGCAACATTCTCGGCGCCAGACATCGAGACTGCTCCTCCATCCTGCCCACCAGGACCGGGGGTTGAGAAATCGATGAGAAGCTCTTCGGGGTTGCTCTTCGCTTGTGGCCGGTCTTTTCCTGTACTCCGCTTGCGCAGTTCGTCAAATGATGGTATAGCCTTAGGTGGCGTCAGAGGGATGGAAGGTTTAAGAATTGATTTTATTTGGAAAGGTGTCGTAGTCTGTCGGAAGTCAACAAAATGCGCCTTCGCCACGAGATACGGTCGCTTTACCTTCGTTGCGTTTCCGGTCGACTCTTTCAGGGCTTCAAGGCCTCCCGGACCGAGACTCTTGCCGCGCGACTTCTTCTTTGCCGCTTTGGCCTCTGTATGTCGAGCTTGCAGAGCAGCAATGTCCGTTGTCGCATTGTCCCTCGAAGCGGCCGTCTTCGCAGAAGGCATATGAGCGATTGACTGTCGGGATTTAGGTCTGCTTGACCCCTGATCTGTGGTAGAGTCGGCCATTGCAGCGCTTTATCGCCTCTCTAAGGCAATAAACTCCTAATGTCCCTCTAAGGATGCTGCATGTTATCAATGATGTTGGTTCAGATCGAGGCCAATCCGCGTCCCCACCGAAAGTCTCAGCGCGACGAGCTAAACCCAAGCAAGGGTTTATGTAAACACGAGGCTATAGCGTGATCACGTGATTATACTCTTGCCAATACTGGACTAGCTCGCTGAATGTCTTGGCAGAATTTTGAATGCGCACCATCAATTGTCGAGGGAAGTCGCTAGCGCCCTGGAGACTGTAAAATTCCACTTTGCGCAACTCAACTTCCTCCCTGTCAACAAACCGCAATCATGGCGACCGAGTTGACAGTCCAGTCTGAGCGCGCCTACCAAAAGCAGCCTCACATCTTCCTCAACCACAAATCGAAGGCGGCGAAGAGCAGGAGAGTTGGCAAGGGCGGCCGAAGATGGTACAAGGATGTCGGGCTGGGCTTCAGAACGCCCAAGACTGCAATTGAGGGATCCTACATCGGTTAGTGATATTGAATTCTCGTTCGATTTTGGTGACTACGCTGGAGATTTGAAGGGATCTGTTCAACAGATTGCCTGGAACTTGCAGCGTCTATGGAGCATAAAAAAGAGAGGGGACCAAAAACAAGAGCGGACCTGATTCTGACCAATTTTCCCTTACGCCAGACAAGAAATGCCCTTTCACCGGTATGGTCTCCATCCGAGGCCGTATCCTGACCGGCACCGTCGTTTCCACCAAGATGCACCGAACCTTGATCATCCGCCGAGAATACCTTCACTTTGTTCCCAAATACGCCCGATATGAGAAGAGACACAAGAACCTCGCCGCACATGTTTCCCCGGCTTTCCGTGTGGAGGAAGGTGACCAGGTCACAGTGGGCCAGTGCAGACCATTGAGCAAGACTGTAAGAATCCTGGCCCACTCTCGAGACGATCTGTGACAGTCTCACTGAGTGTGAAATACTGACAATGCGGGAAAAATCCCAGGTCCGATTCAATGTTCTCCGTGTGTTGCCCAGGACCGGAAAGGCAGTGAAGGCGTTCCAGAAATTCTAAGCGCGTGAAGAGAATGTCATTTGTGGTAGTGGAAAGGCCAGTCAAATGGAGAGTGCTGTATCTGCACCATTGAACACGGCAAATGCATGATGCCTGTGGAATAAAGGTCGTCGGGCAGGGGTCATTTTCGGCGTCTGAAAACACAGATCAGAAGGTAGATGATTTGTCGCTGGCATGCGGCCAGGCATGGAAACCCGGTCCGAAAATCCGAACGACAAATTGAGCAAGGTCCAAAAACAGAAACTGCATGCAGTCTCGATGAGGGTTGTGTATTCGTGTCTACGATATTCTAACGGTTTATATCCAACTCATCGGTGCGCTCATCAGTTGTATCCACTCCCAAGTCCAATTCGCAGGGCTCTCAAGTCTCGAGATAAGCAAAGCCAACCTCTGCCTTGAGCGGCGGGTAGCCCGAGCTGTCGACGACGGGCAAGATGCTAGCCTTCCTCTCGACCTCCTTCTCATCTGCCTCCATCCAGCGTTTGACCTCGCTCTCGTCGCTCCAGTCACTGATCAGCTCGTGCCCTTTCCCAATCTGATGTATTTGCGTGCCACTCGAGTTCGTGTTGAGAGGCAATGGCGAAAAGTTCTCAATGGCCCCCGTGATCCTCCCGCTCAGAATCTCTTTGGAAAAGTACGGCTCTTGGGCAAACGGTCTGCCGATTCCCACCCCGTCGCACGCGCCGCATTCGACGGCTCGAACCATGCCCGCCGCAGTCCTCAGGCCGCCCGTGATGTACACCTTCGTCTTCTTGAGGAGCGGCCGGATCATCTCGGCAAACTCAATAAAGTACGCCTCCCGCGCCTTGGTGCTTTCCTTCTTGTGCTGAAACGCTCGACCCTCAAACGTGCCGCCGCTCAAGTCGACAAAGTCGACACGCGCCTCTTCCAGCTTCAGACACAGGTCCCGGGCATTCTCGGGCGTGGTGCCTTTGTCCTGGAACTCGACCGAGTTGAGCTTCACGCAGAGGATGAATGACGGGTCCGGCACACGGCGGTGGATCTCGTCAATGATCTCGAAGACGATGCGAGAGCGGTTGTTCAGGTCCCCGCCGTATTCGTCGGTGCGGCGGTTCGTGGTGGGACTCAGGAATTGGGCCAGGAGGTAGCCATGGGCGCAGTGCACTATTGATTGTTTGTCTTAGCTCCATTTTCGCCTTTTCAGCGATCAGGAAGAAGGGGCGAGGTTGGATGCCTACCTTGAATGCCATCGAACCCGGCTTTCCAGCACAGATACGCCGTCTCGCCCCAGCTTTTAACCATTTCTTTAATCTCCGGAATGGTCATTGGTCTGGGTTTATTGAACTCGTTCCCCGCCCATTTAATGGTCAATTGCACGTCGCTCGCGCTGACGGGATTCGGGTTCAGGTACTTGCCGCCCTGCCTTCCCGGGTGGGAGAGTTGGGCAATGATAAGTGACCCATGGGCCTTTGCGATGTCGGTGACTTCCTTGAACTTGGCGAGACGGCCGTCGTGATCGTCAACGAGGATGGGATTGCCATATGCTTCGACAGCGTCGTACCGGACCATGATGTTGCCACTGACGATGATGCCGATTTCGGCCTCGCCCCATCGTCTGTACAGGTTGAGATACTCGGGACTAGGTACGCCTCGGCCTGACTGGAAGTTGAGGTCAATAGATGTTCAAAAATTGCAGGGATCAGCTCGTCCATACAATATCCTCGCCCTCCTTGGGCCAATGGCACAGCCTTTCAGTCATAGGCGCCTTGAGGAATCGATTCTTTGCAGTCCGACCCGAGAATGCAAACGTAATGGGCTCGTGGAGGATGGAGACATCCATTGGCTTGCCCTGAACCCTTATGCGACCTCGATTCAAGCCGGCCGTGCTCTTCTCATGGTTGACCTTACTTGCGACGGGCGCCCCATTGAAGGTCGAAGCATCGCATTCCATAATTCCCCTGGTCTCTTTTTCTCTCTCTCTCTCTCTCTTTGTCTTCTTCTTCTTTCTCTTCGTTTCTGTCTATTGAATCCACTCTTGGCTCAGAATATCCAATACCACTCGCAAAGTTTCTCTGCCCCTTTTCTGAAATGTTTATATCTGCAAACTCCCGCTACCGGAGCATCAATGATAATGCGATGGTCGTCAAAACAGGCAATCAACGAATGTTGGGCCGAAGAAATCAAAACACCGAGGTGAATGTGAGGAGACCGTTTCTGGGCGTTTTATGGATCACATCCATTCGCCTCCAGGCGATATGCCGTGAGCTTTACCACTCCAGTCCCCATATCGATGCATGGGACCGAAAAGAGTTCATGCGTGGTGGTGACGGGCTGTTCAAGTTGGAGAACCAGAAGAGAACGACGCACCGATGCGGGGTACGGTGAGGAGGCCACTTTAAAAGGCTGTGGGATTGGGTAGTGTATATTGATATAGTATACAATCCAAACTTTGATCTGATTTGACGCACAAAAAAATTAGTTCCTTAGTTGAGTCATCCGATGCCCTGGCTTTACCCAGGCTAATTGTCGCAGGTGTAGTGGTTCATCACATCTCCTTTACAAGAGTTCCTCCCTTTCGAGAAAGAGAAGAATTAGGCAGCGGAGAAGGTCATGGGTTCGATCCCCATAGGAACTATCGTTTTTGTTCTTTTTGCCGAATCTACTGTAGATTATGACTTAAGACGAGAGTGGAAGGTTTTCTTGCAATAGCTGGCCATGAGCCGAACTTGATGGGCACTTTTTTTTTGTCTTACTCTGGCTTTACCGTCGACTCTGAAGGGGGCTGTCCCCGTCGGATTGCGCCGAGATGCTCATTCAGGGTATGTGGGATTTCAGACCCATCGGCAGAACCCTGGTCAGGGAATGATAGAGTCGAAGCAAGGTCAATGGTAAAGGTCTCCAAGGTGTGAAGAGGTCGGGTACCCTCTGCAGGGTAGGCACGGCTACGGAGTACAATCCTATTGACAAGGCTGCGAGCCCCTGGGTATAATAGCAGTCAAGCTTGTTGTCCTCTCTGCCTCCATCAAGCAGCCGCGTCTCCACCACAATCTATGTTCAACAACTCCATTCCCACACCCACCACCAAAATCCTTAATGCATGCCTTCCTTTCCGATTATCCTCGTCACGATTTACGCTGATCCCCTGATCATCTTCAAGGACCTGTAGACCACTGACATCCGCGACAGCTGTCCATCCACTTCCGAAGGGTTTGACCTGGATGGCTTCAAACAACTGATCATCCTCGACTCGGCCAATAAGAGGGTCACCGTTCTTTTCTGAGCGGACATGGACATTCCAAACTCTGACACGCTGGTCGTTTCCCACAGTAACCACCACAACTGAAAAGCCTGTTCGTGTGCGCCTCGGATCTGTGATCTTCAAGGCTGTGAGAGCCGCGGCGTGGGCGGCAGGAATGACGATCGTTCGAAAGTGGTGTGGTAATTGCTTTTGGGTGTCGCTTTCTTCGCAAGCGACCGCCAATGAAGGCCGAGAAGTAAGTAGTGTCAAACCCAGCGCATTGTCATCGCCACCTGTTGCGATGAGGAAAGTTTTCGGGCTAAAGGATACGATGTCGATGGCCAGGACGCTGCTTTGATGCACCTTATGAACTTCCGTCTGGAGTGGTGACTCTGCATGGGGTAAGACAGCCAAGTGCTTGCGTAGAGGGCGTGAATCCAAAAGGCTGAGATTCAGAAACCCGTTTGTGCCCGCAGATATCGTCTTGATCTGATGCTCATCGAGTCTCAAGGTCGAAGTCAAGGTGAAAGAGGGCGAAAGGAACAAAGCCTGCATCACGCAGAAGGAACCGTAGCTGATTTCTCGTAGCGTCTCAAACATCTCTTGGTTTCTGGTCGGTGCAGGAGTGTATCGTACGACCTTTATCTTTCCGTTGGAATATGCCATCACAATCGTGTAAACTTCATTAGCGTCCTTGGTTCCATTGCTTGCACACCGCAAGTCGAAACTCATTATCCGCGCATCCGAATCCTCTTCCTCCGTCGGCATCACGTCCCACAACACGACTCCGGCTTCAATGCCGGGCACATTAAAGCTGAGTTTCCACACATAGAACTCTTCGCATCCAGCACTACTGAAAAGATATCCTCCAATTGGTGAGAATAGAAGATGTTGGATGCCTGTGTTGTGTCGCTTCAGAGTTGATATAGCCCGAAATGTAGAGGAATTTGTCAGCGCCAGATTCCCTGCTGGTTGAGGTCGGTAGGCATTTTCTGTAGCAAGGGGCACAGCAAAGAGTTGAATATTGGTGTCTTCAGCCCCGGTAGCTATAAGAACTCGAGCGTGGCCTTCGTTTCTGAAGTCCGTGTAAGGCAGAGGACTGCGTGCCACGGCCTTGATCTCGCGTCCGTGACCTCCTTTTTGAAGCACTTTATGACTAGAACCTTGAGCGGAGTGCCAGTTCAATCTGCCAGCTTTGGTCCAGACAAAGGATTTCATGACGCTGTCGCAAAACATGGAAGAGTCTCGAAAGGACCAGCTCCGATGAGATCCACCACATTCAACGGCTAACACTTCAGACTGCTGTGTTTCATTCCAGACGACAAAAAACGTCGAACGAAAGCCATAGAGTACCAAATCTGGCTCTGTTGTAGGTGGTGATCCTTCAGTCGAAGTAAAGAAAGCCCCTTCGATGCTGGGACCGAATGGAGGCGCAGACAGGTGAACGATAGACACAGTGGGTCCTGTCCCATCTCCGGATGATAGCCAGTTAACACGATGGATTGCATAAATACCGTCTCGCCCTGTTGTTAGGACATGTATAGATCTTGTGAAGCGCTCCGGATCTTGCCGTAGAACACTGATCGAAGTGACACTATCGGTGCCGTGGACATGGCGGAGGCAGCGCGGTTCCCCGGATGTTTCTGATCCAGCTGTCACATGGGAGTATACCGCAAGAGCACCAGCACGAGAGCCCAGAAGCAACAGACCGCTTGAGCTGTCGTAACAACAGGATGTAATAATGAACGTTTCTGGCACTCTCAGACATGTCTGGCTCACCTGAACTGAACTGTCTTTCATGCTCACCCAGAGGATGAGGGCATGTTTGTTGGCCAGGACGGCGATAACGCAAGTTGTCGAAGTCGGTACTCTCATCGACTGTTGAGAGGCAAGCTGCATCCAAGAGATTCCACATTCAAGGTCACATTTGACTGGTACCACAGATTTGGGACCAGTGAGAAATGCAGTAAGTCCACCTCTCTGATATGCAGCGAGAACGAGCTGTTGGTTTCCAGCCGGGCAGAGCACAAGACCACCTTTCCTAGGGTTCGGCATCAATTTATTCCAGTTCAGCCCGCCGGGTTCAGCAGTCACTCGGAACAGGTCGCCTTTGTCCGTGGTTGCGAGGCATTCATACGAGTCCACCAACAAATAATTCTTCAATGCCATCGAAGAACCGGTAATTTCCGCAAAGGGTACTGAAAGGGTTAAAGAGCAACCCATGCTTCCACGAGGGATGTCGAGTTTTCTGGAGATTATCTGGCCGTCAGCACCACCAGTGTGAACGAGCAAACCTTGGCCTGCATTGACGCAAGAAATAGACCATGCATTCTTCCCAAAGTGATGTCGATCACTTGACTCTGGTCTGAGAAGTGTCGTTGAATACGACTCCGGTCGAGTCTGGGGAGGGAGCTCAATGGTCCACAATTGACATGCACCATCTTCACCTCGTGATAAAAGCCAGACTCTATTTCCGTTCTCGCCCACCTGTTCTTGTACGAATTGCACGCCCCAGATGCGAGACAGATGACCCCATGCGGATGCAATCTGATTCTCGCCCCCGTGAGCAGCATGTCCAAAGCCGGTTTCCGTCGATCCCATGTCGTATCTAGCATCGTATTGCGTATATTCACAGTCACTAATGTACCAAATTCTTACCGTGCGGTCATCGGAACAGCTTGCCAATAAGCGGGTGCGTGTACCTCCCAGCTCGAAAACGTCCGAAATAGACACACCAAAAACGGAGCCCCTGTGGCCATTGAAGACGTGTCTGAGCGATGGCGACCACTGTCGATCGTTTTCTTTCCTTGAGCAAATCCAGACTAGAATTTCGCCAAAGACAGTTCCGGACGCCACGACTATCAGTCCCGGCTGGGCAACAAAGAGAGACCCGGAGTAGAGAAATGACCTCGGGCCAATCACTAGAGCTGGCTTTCCGCACTCCAGGGCCTTTTCATTTGTTTCCTCGAGAACGGGCACCTCCTGGAGTTGATTGTGTGCTGTGAGTATGAAAATGCAGGATTCGTGAATAGCGGCGTCCAGAATCCAGTCTCTGCAGTTCAACTGTCTTGACAAAATGAGTTTAGGCACTGTATGAGGTGAAGCAGTCCTGGCTTTCTGAATCGTCAACCGGCCGAGTCGCAACAACGCCCCTCCCCAGAACACCACCCGAGGATTTTGAGCCTCGTCTTGATCTGCAGTTTTGGAATCTGTCTGGACACCACAGACTGGTTGAATCTCGAAGATCCGTGTAGATATGATGATGGCCCCGCTTTCATCATAGATGTGAAGAAAAGGGCCCTGACCCGCGAGAACCAGCAATTCTCCATCAACCAGGACCGACCTAAGAGCAGTTACTGGGAGACATGCGGGCTTGTGACCGGGTTCGTCAGCGATTGGCTTTGTAGGAGGTCTTGACAACTCACCTCTATAGTGCATGTTATCATTGGGGTGCAATGGTGGTCCGATCTATTTGACTTGTGCTGGCTTGACCTGTGGAATATTCAGAGTCACTCAGAAATCCTCAAGACGTGGCGAGGTGGGAAGGCCGCGCCTGAGCTAGTCTAGAATGGGGAAATATGCCGCCGCTCTACTGTTCTCCCAAGAGGTTGTTCTCTATGTAGCCAATCTATTTCGTAATTCGAGCAGTCTATTCAAAAAGGAGCGACGAGGCTGAGTGTTCGCCTATCCACGCGTATGCTTTCGTCCTTCAAGGTCCTTCCAACAGCCGCAATCGTTCTAATTCTCTTCATGTCTGAGGTTTGCTTCTACTGCCGAGGAAGTACAAAGCACTGGCCTGCTGCTGCTCTTAGAGATGTGCTTTTGCATTTGTTGCTGGCAGCTGTTGCCCAACTTCCCAATCCGCCAGAAATCGCACATTGACCTTTCTGCCTCTGAGGCCATTTACTCCCACTTCAACCTCCTGTCCTGGCAGTATATCGAACATGTTATCGTCCCACAGCGGCTCGGGCTCATCCTCTTTTTCATTTCCGTCGTAGACAGGCTCAAGCCAACAACCCTTGAGCGGCTGATTAGCAGTGATTGTCACCAGATTCTCAAAATGCGTATCGTTGTCGGTATTGGTTTTATCATTCTTCACGCTCTGGACGGAAACCGTCACTCTTGTGTCGGTAGGCCACCGCAGATACCGGTATGGCTCGGGCCAGTCAGTGAATCTTGCTAGCACCTTTTTGCTCGATGGGTCGATGAGGCTCGCGTCAAGAATGATCAGACTTTCCTCGGTCCACGATGCATGGGGTTTCAGGCTTCCGAGTTCGGTATTGTAACCAGCTGACAAGATCACTTCGGAGCTCACTCCAGCCCAATTCAAGTCAACTGCCTTTCCGCTATGAAGGTCGTATGCTCTCATTTCCAGGGTGCACTTAACTTCGTCCGAAGTTGTATTGTGTGCGAAAAGGGCGAAATTTGGGATGTATGAATCTTTGGGCTTATCTTCGTCGATCCACCGAGAGCGAGGCGTGCGTTCAATGCCGACACTAATGGGGGCAAAGTTTCGGCGAATCGTATAGAAGGCTGGTTTCGGACGGAGGTAGTAGTCGATGTATGCCCAGCTTGTCACCGGATAAACATCATTCAATTGCCAGATGATGGCTCCTGCACATTCCTCTTTCCCTTTGCCCCCAAACTTCCGCTTCCAATCGCGCAAGGCATAGCCGTATGCCTCACTTTGCAAGAGCTGAGAGCAGTATGCGAAATTCTCAAGCTTCATATCATATCGGAAGTTCTCAGACAAGTACCGAGCAATACGCGTCTCCGCGCCGTGACCCTTGTTGTGGCAGTCAATGGTGCGAGATTGGGGATGACGGTCCTTCGGATCAGGTGCAAAAACATCCACTGTACGCATGATGGGGAACCCGTGCATGCCGAATTCGGAGATAAACCGTCCGGAGAGTTCTCCATATTTCTGGTAAGAGTGCTGCGGTCCATGCCATACAGCCCACTGGTGAAGATCCCCGAATGTAGTATCACTTGCATTGACACCCTCTTCGCCCCAAGGAGACGATGGCCAGTATTGTATCGTAGGACACAGGCTCTCGCAGACCTTCGGGAGAAGGTCGAGATAGATCTTCCGCGCAGGGAAAGTACTATTTTCAAATGGTCCTTGATGGTCTTTAAAATCGTACGGCTCGCCAAAAAAGTCCTGGATCCCGAAATCTTCGTTGTTTCCACACAAGAGGGCCAGTGAGGCGCGGTTGCGCATCCGAATGGTCTGTGCTTCGGCCTCAGCTTTGACGCTGTCGAGAAATTCTTTGTGGACAGGATAGTCACCACATGCAAATGCATAATCGTGCCAAACCAGCATACCCATCTCGTCGCAGGCATCAAAGAAGTCCTCTGTCTCGTATATTCCGCCTCCCCAGACCCGAATCATGTTCAGATGGTGGTACTTGGAAAGTCGAATCCAGTCAAAGTATCTTTCGCGCGTCATAGTAGGCAATAAGTTGTCTCCGGGGATCCAGTTGCCTCCCTGGGAGAAGATATCGCGGCCATTGACATTGAAGAGAAATGTCTTGCCCGGGGCATTATCAAGAGGGCGTTGAATCACTTTGATGGTCCTTATACCATATCGAATGGTACTAGCATCGAGCTGGTCCGAGGATTCGTCTAGTAGAGACACCGAAACATTGTATAGATGTTGTGGGCCTTGACCATTAGGCCACCAGAGTTTGGGCTCTATTATAGTGACACTGGCCGAACCTTTTTTCGAGTTGTCCAGTGCGATGTCGAACTCCTGTGACACTTGTGAAAGAGCTTGATCGAGAATGGTGACTTTGGCTACCATAGCAGGCGGTCCAGTCGCTTGCACGCCAATCGTTAGCGTGGCTGTTGAGTGATCCCCGGCCAGCTCTGTGGTGATGTAGACATTGTCCAGTCTTGCAGAGTATGTCTCCAGATAGATGGGCATGTATGGACCAGCCGTCACCATTATCGGACCCCAGTCCCAGCCCCAGTGGTACTAAATCGTCATCAACAGAAAGTTAAGGCCTTCGAAAAGTCGACGCGTACCTGTGCCTTCCGAATATGGTTCCTTCTTTTGTCTCGAATCATTTGTTTTCTAGGACCAAACTTAGCCTCCAATTCATCACCCTTCTTCAAGGCACTCTCAAAGAGTATCAAAAGTTCGTTCTCTTGCCCCACAGGATTCAGGTGACTGGTCACATCCACTCGATAGGGGATAAACATGTTGTCGCTTTTGAGGATCTCTCTGCCGTTCAAGGAGACAGTTGCAAATGTGTCCAATCCCTCAAACACCAAATCAGCAATGCTTGAGTTACCGAGACCGTTCGGTGTCGGAAAAGAGCAGGAATACTCCCAGTCCATACCCCCAACCCACTGGATCTGACGCTCGTTTTCGCCCAGATTTGGGTCCGGAATGATTTTCTTTGCGAGGAGTTCCATTTGTACGACCGATGGGAAAGCAGTAACCGGAGTCCAAGTCTTGAGATCTGGGATGCTGTCTGCTTTCGATATGCCATTGGCATCTGCTAGACGCCATTTCCACCTTGTGGATAACGCATGTCGCTGCTTCGTTGCCATCTTGAGATCGTGTCAGGGTGAGTTGCTGAGGTCGAAAGCAGGTAGATCCCGCGGTCGAATAAGTACAAAAAGCAGCCTTAATATCAATCTAGCATTATGTAGCCATTGCTGTCAATCAACTCGAGTCTGATTCGGCAACACAACATCCTCTAGTAAGTCCGAAATGCCGATTAGCAACCCTCCGTCTCTGCGCTGCTTCCATTTTCGGTTTGGTATTCACGTCGTCGACCCTAGGATGTATCTTCGCGGGCCTGATGTGAAAATCTTATGGGGTAGTAGTCTTCGAATACTTGCCGAGGATGCAACGCTTCCGTTACTGATGGGGTAGGAAGGAATAGATGTAAACGGGCATATATAGTCCCGAAATGTATCCACACTCGGCGGCAGTACATATCTCCTCCAATAAGCGAGAGAGAGTAGTGTGGTTCCGTAGTTAAAAGCAACATCACACGTTCGATGTCAACCACACCAACTCAGCACCACCGAGAGCTAGAGGATCCTCCATGGAGAGGTGAAGTTCCACCATCTGCATTGCAGTCCAGTGCAGTAGGCATAGGAATCAGATACGACTTCTCTATAATCGCGGGTAGTGTGGTCTTGTCCAGCAGATGCCAAGGGCGAAGAGAAGCAATTGTCACGCCTAGTCAGCATTTGATCGTCAGTAGGTCTCTAATGGAAGCCGACTCATGTAGTCCGGAATGAATCCACAGGTGAGCTCAGGCAAGTATTCAATCACTTCATGTTGTGGCTCCAAACTGTCGACGCAACAATCGAGTTGAATGATTCGATCGTCGCTCAAGTTTCGCATTTTCCTTTTCCATCGTCAGAGACTCGTTCTTGGGATTCCCAAACGAATCTTGCCACCTCACCCCTTTGGTGACTACCACGACTGCTTGGAAATCGGCTCTGCGCCTCAAGAATTTTGAACGTGAAGGTATAGTGATGAGATCCTTTATAGCGGCTGGATTGTGAGCCGTTTGTGGCGCTTAGCCTCCGTTTCAGATTATGCCTGTGGTTTAGTCTGCGATGTCCTTACTGTAGTACCTCGCTCACTAACAATCGTAGAGTGGTAGACACGATTGATCACCAGATCGAACAGAATACCCACCATACAATTTGCAGACAGTGGCTGGTCCATTTAGAATTTCTTGTGATCAAAGAACCATTTTCAGCCATCTTGACTCCGTGGGTGTCTTCTCTCAGAATAATTCCGGCGAAGCTTGGTTTTCGACGATTGGGAATTCTTCTTCGAGTTGTCTGTAAGGGAACATAACAAGGCGTTCGTTTTTTTTTTTTTTTTTTGTTTTTTGTTATTTTAATAAAAATAACAGCCAACCGTGTCGGTTGCTTGGACATCAAAGGAGTCTGTGGAAGAAATTCGAATCTTTAGGTAGAACACCACTCAAGCAGCACTCCCTGACCGGAGAGTGGCAGATGTGCAGCCCTACAGTCGCTTTTGGGACTGTCGGAATTCCTGCGTTTTTGGTCACCCAAAGACAACCATGTCATGTTTGCGCAAGCAGCATCCGTGTTCTCTCTCAGGCTCCTCAGGACACTCTGGGCACTAAAACAGCAGCACGAGTTGTACCTCGAAATTCGTCTTGTTCGGCCAGTCAATCTTGGTCGGTGTCTTCACCTCCGTCCACTCGGCACCGGTAAATGTAAGCCGCTTGTCAAAGTCGTCACTAGATGGTTGAAATGTTGAGGATTTGTAACCCAGGGGTTTTCATCTGAACAAAGTGATGAATTGATCGTGGACCGAGGAATGAAATTTTATAGGAACAACAGCTTGCCCAGAGGCAAAGCCTTGTCTTAGTATGGCGATGGGAAATTGACGCCATCAGCCTGTCGCCTCAAAGGGTGACACATGGGAAACCAAGACCACTCAGCTGCATGTAAGCAGCGACAACCTCATTGCAGACTCAGTCAATTCCTGAAGCCCGACAACTCTGGTACATCTTGACGCTGGAGCAACATTGGTCAGCATCGAGCTACCTATCGGAAAGGATCCCACCAATCTTGAGTTGGCCCTCGATTCAAGTATTCATGGACCTCAAACATCAGGGAGAGGGTACCAGTTCAGTTGTTGATCCCCAAATGCAAGATCATAATCGAACCATTCCAAGAACGGACCTGGCGCTGTCATGTCCTGGCCGTCATAGTTCATAAAGTCCGCCACGTTCCCCGATCTGATATTTGCGAGAAACTCTGTATATTGATTGATATCGGCAGCGAGTTCAGAGTCCTGGTCATTCCAAGCGATGATGCCATCGCGCAGCGCCTCAATAATGCCGCCGTATCTGTCCGCTGGCCTAGTATGGGGAGCCATGTCTCTGAATGCTCGTATAGCACCGTCCAGACTCTGTTTCCATTCATTGACAGCGGCATCATCAAATAGGCTCAATTTCTTAGCCACGGCGATAGAGAGTAAAGGAATCAGGCAAGCCTGAAAAAGCGCGAAGGTCGAGTGCCAGACTGAAACTCTATCGTGATGAAGGCCGGAACAGATCAGGTCGATAACCTCGCTTGCTGAATTTTGACAGAGTGACACCACTTTCCAGTCTTCGTCTGTGAATCCATTGTGCGCCATTCCATCGTCTGCGAGCCGCATCAGATGTGGCCGCGACAAGAGGACGCGCACGCCCAAGAAACGATATAACATAGTCTCCCGACTTAACCAGAAACGTTTTGGACATGAATTCTCTGACAAGCAGCGAAAATGATGGGATTTGCTCCAGATCTCGAGTTCGTCACTGAATGCGAATATTTCTCGGGGTGTAATATACGATAGCTGTGCCAGTCGGTCTCCGATTTTCTGAGCAATGATGCAAAACTCGGCAGTGACGCGAAGTGATATCCCATGCCAATCTCTGTCATCAGACTCGATCTGTCTCAGCCGTGCAACACCCTCAGAGTGAGCAGAACTCGGCGGGAGCTTTGTACTAGGCAAAGCAGTGTCCATTGTAAGCGGATCCCATCTTCCAACTCTAGGACGATGTAACAACAGCCCTTGCCAGGCGTTGGCGCAGATCAGGCTCCACCAAGTTCTCCGTCTGACTTCAGCTCGACACAATGCCAACGCTTCCTCACCTGCGTTCTGGCCGAGCTTTATCGTTCTGGCCGGTTCACGATGTAGACCGATTGCGATGGCCATTCGAAACGCTGTACCCATGACCAGAAAGGCGGTGTTTGGCGAATTGATGTAGTATAAGTACAAGCCACTCAAGAGAACTAGCGCTTGCAGAATTTCCATGTTTCCTGAGGTAAATATATTGTATCCAAGGGCCTGCCGCGCCCGCTCGTGGTAAACGAAATGAGATTGGTCATCCCCTGCTGCTATGGAACCTAACGCCAGGACCATACTTGAAAGCGCCTTCCATCCGTCATCTGTTCGTTGTTGGGTGGAGAATTCCTCTCGGAAGCGAGCTTCATCCACCACCGGAACCAGGGCGTGGATCTGTTCGAAATACGCATCGACCGCTATCTGTTGAGTAGACGACAATGAGGAAAGCGATGAAGAGACAGGGCTGACATTCTGCACGGCTTGCGGAGACTCTTTGCTTGGACCCCGAATGACCAGCTGCTTTGGTTTCTGAAACGCAGACTTTCCAAGGTCCAAGAATGTTTGCTTTGCAGGGGGGCATATACTAAAAAGGACGTGCAAGAAAGCACCAGTGGAGGAGATGCGCGAGTAAGAGCCGGGGCGCTGGTGGAGGGCAAGGCCGTTAACAACATCGCCAACTGGCGGCTCCGAATCTTCCTCGTTCTGGGCCTCATTCCACTCTGCTTCGTCGGCTGGTATGTCGCTGAAAAAATGCGAGGCGTCAACGACGTTATGGGCAACGGCGCCGTCGGCCGCTGGGGAAGGGGTCTGGACCTCAACCTCGTTGCTGATCAACCGGATGACACTCTCTCTCGACAGGCCGGGGAGACTGTCGAAGTCAACTGCCGGCAAAAGCTGCTTGATGACCTGGTTGCGAGCATTCAGAGCCTCGTTTAACTGGTCTATTGTCCTGGGTACCAGGCAGTCAGACGGAGCCGCAGACGCAAGCTTGCAAACTCACTTCCAAGAGGGATTTGTTCTCCGTTGTCGCTTTCTGTAACTACATCTGGATTCCAGCGAATGCTTCCGACAGTTTTGGCAGGGCAGAGAGCCACAGCATTTTATTTTCCTCCTTGTACATTCGACGCAAGCACGATTGGTCCTTCGCGGTTCGAGACGGGTATGAAGCCTCTGGGGGCTCTGGCCTGGCGCGAAGAAAGTGGCATCGCCCGTGTCGTCCATGATACATTGCCACCGCTATTTGTTCAGTGGTCTTTGATCTTCAGATGCGAGGATCATCCTTTTGATGAAAAGATTGGGGTCAAAAGATATGTCGGGGTAATTCGATACCAAGACGTACAAGGAGACGTCGGACAAAAGTTTGTTGCATGTCCCTGTGTGAGTCTCCGCCTAAGGGATCGACCGATCTAGGGCCAGTTGGGTACTGGGTGCTCGGGGGCTCAGTGGCTGTACTGCAGAGCGCACGGGGAGTGGGGTCCTTCTTAGGGGTCACTAGGTCAAGCTTGGGGGGGCACCCGAAGGGGGAGGCTTGGTGACGGTGGTGATGGTGAAAGGAGGTTCTAGCTGGTGGGTTCTTGGCACTGATACTGATGAGGGCTGCTCCGCGAATTATTAGTAACACGGGGCACTCCTTACCGAATACCGAAGACCCCGGACACGCTTGCCGAGGTCGGAATCAACCAACCTCCCTACGAGGTACAAGGACCTCGACCTCGTTTAGTCACAATCGCAGATCAAAGACCCGATGCTCCAAGCGCCCATTGTAGACACGGCTCAGATCATTCGAGTGGCCAGAATATTAGGTATCCTTGGGGCATGAGTTTCGGCCCCCAGAATGCTGTCCCCGAAGGACGTCCAAGACGACCTCCAGGTGCGCTTTGACTGAGAGAACAGAGCACAAAAAAAACCTAATCAGGCTATCTATGTAGGCAGACATATGATGCAAATCTGTAGGGAATCTGGTGAGCAGTGGTAATGCTTTGGTCTACACTATATATCGAGAGAGTATGTAACTATGTGCCTCGTTCCTGGCGAGGCATACCTCGATACTGCTGATTGGTCGGTAAAAGCAGCGGTTTGCGAGCCAAAAGCTTGAAGAAACTCCGGCCGTCTTGGCGCTGGTCGCCAACTGTACGAGGCATTAACCTCCCATTTGTCCAGCTGGAGCAGCCGTGTGTTTGATATACACAAGAACTGCAGAATGCAAGCAAATCTAGTAACTTCAAGCAGTGAACAAAGAACCTGCAAGACCCATAATCTCGCCTCCACTTCATTTTTCGCGTCTCCAAACACGGAACGAATAAAATGAAGCACAACCCGTCCCAGATCATTGCCTTGTCCGACTCGGGCTCAGACTCAGACCAGGGGCCGCCCAAGAATAACAGAGCCTCAACGGCCACTCGACCTGTGCGGAAAGATTTGAACGACCATGGTACTGACGAGCAGGTTGACGTGCGACACCGGCCCATGTCACCGTCAACGGCAGCAGCACCCTTCTTAGCGCGACTGCGCGACTTAGCAGATAATCCAGCAAAGCGATCGACGGCAAGGCCACCCCAGAGTCCATCACCAAGACCACTAACAAAAAACCCCTTAAGAAAATCACCGCTGAATACATCGTCAATTACACCCATCCCTTCTCCAGTGCGAGAACGAAGCAGAACATCTCTTACAGCACCGTTTCTTGAAGAACGATCGACTTCGCAGAGCAAAAGTACAGTTCCATCCAAAAGCTCGACTTCTCCCACAAAACAACGGCCTGGTGTCCGGAATGCTGATTTGTCCACGGCTCATCAAGGACCCCAGTCCCAGATATTGAATCACAAACAATCACCCGGCTTCGCGATTTCATCCTCACCAGTAGTTTCCACGCCTCCCACTGCTCGAAATGGACAAAACCATGGCACACCCAGTGGCAACGCAAAGCCACTCTCAAAAACTCCCCCTAATGTTGCAAATAGCCTTGTCTGCAGCAATTGTGCTCGGGTTCACCTCGAGTGCGACGGTAAGACACCGTTCTGTGGTCATTGTCAGGAACAGGGAGTGGCCCGCCCTTACCGAGGCCCACCCAATTCTACAGAAAAATCTAAAACGCCCGTATTAAAGTTGGACATGACATCCCCTGCTCGATATACCAGTTCAGAAACCACCAAAAAGACAAATCTACAGAAAGAGCAATCATCGAGCGAATCCGATGACTCGAGTGAGGGCGAAATATCAGACTCAAGTAGCCCAGACCTGGATCAAGGACCTCCACTCAGGCTTGTTTTCCGTCCTCAACCATCACAAAACTCAGACGCAGAACAAGAAGCGCCCACTGACCAGCAATCTCAAAAGCACGGAGTAATCGAAGTTGAGAAAGATGAGCGTCTCGAGGAAGGTGGTAGTGTTGAGGAAGATGGCGGTGCTGAGGGGTCCTCCGCAATGGGCGGGGAACATGAGGATGATGACTGCATCAGTGTCTCGTCTGACTCTTCCGTCGAATCTATAGAAGAAGCAACCTTGCGTCCCTCCGTCCAATCTGTCACAAATATACTGAAACGCATACGCCAGCAATTACGTGAATACCAGCAAGCAAACGTCCTAGCCGACTTGAGGCAGGCAACTATCGACGTCAGGAAGTATGGTGGTCCCAGGCTCGACCCCAGTCTCCCAGACCCTTTCAAGACACTCACCGAGGAGAGACGGAGAGGGTGGGATCCAGACGCGGAGCAAAATAAGGATGTGGAGGTAATTCCTGCACCTCAAAAGTGCTATCACACCGACTCGATAATCCTGCCGAAATCCAAGTCCATCGGCAGAGTCAATTCAAGTTTTCTTGCGCCCAACATTCGGACTGCCACACATAGAGCCTATGACGATGAAGACGAGGACGATCCGGACTCCAGCATAAAATATGAAGAGTTCGAACTGCGCTACAAAACTGATTTCCAGGGGATGGAGCAGCAACGCCTATGCCAGGAGTTAATATACCTTTGGGAGCCCTGGGTTGAAGAACTATTGAAGCGCCTCCAAATCCAGAAGAGCGACGTCCTTTACTTCTTTACGCAGGACCATTTTGAACCCGATCGCCGAATCGAGTTTAAATGCAGTGAGGCGTCCCGAACGGCATGGAGGACAGAACAGCAGAGTGTTTGCAACACATGCAAACTGGCTGACCCACAGAGTCGCCAGAGCTATCTCGGTGAAGACTTCAAGCGTCTGCCACGGCCTGATGACCGAAGCCTTGTTTTCGCAGGGCTAGCGGCTCGCGCCTTCCACAAGATGACTGGGTCAAGTCTGTGGCACATTGCCCTTGGCAGTACAATACAACCGCGACATATGGACTCCGGGGCGGCTACGATGCAAGACCCCGGCTTCTGCTTAATCTGTTTTCGCCACCAGTGTCCAGATCACGGATCGTACGAGGAGCCTCCCGACGATGATGAAGGCCCGCAAACATCCAGAGCCTTTATAAACGACGATGAATCTGATCGGAACGTACGAAAGTTTGTGTCGCTGCCTAGTGCCAAGCGTGACGTTGAAAATAAGTCGCATATATGCGGAATATTCTGCGTCGAATCGTCAACCAACTTGCGACAGATACTCGGGCGACAGCTCAACGGGAGTATCAGCGGAGAAAGTCGGCCGCCAGAAAACTACATTAGGCCCATACTAGCAGATGAGCACTTGTGCAGCTCGTCGTGCTTCTGGGACGTCACCAACCGCCGCGATATCACGGTATCAGAAGTAGAATTCCGCCCGTTTGTATCGGAGTCACAAAAAATGTGTGTCGAGAAACTCATGGGCTTCTACCTCTACAATAAACGAGGCCCGTGCCTTATCTCACGAGTGATCAAGGAAGTAAGCTGCATGACGATTTTCAATCACATCATCTTCTCAATATTCAGAGTCAAGCATCCTCCCAGTCCATGCCCTACAGCTACTAACATAAGTCCTACTCCGGGAGGTTCCAGCCAGACGGCACGCGGGAAGAAGAAACCAGCGCAGATAATTGATGTCTCGAGAAGTGCGGACTTAGAAAAGCGGGAGCCTTTTTTCCCTTGTTCCCACGAGGGACCGTGCATCAACAACCCGGCATGCTCATGTGGGACAAGCAAGGTACACTGTGAGTGGTTCTGCGGATGTGACGAGTCCTGCAAACGACGCTTTCGGGGGTGCACCTGCAGAGCTGGCGGTAACAAGATCTGCTTCGAGGACAACAGGTGCGAGTGCTGGAAAGTCAATCGTGAATGCGACCCCCATCTTTGTGGCAGATGTGGCGTGCTTGAAGTCCTGGATTCTTTTAACAAGTACCGGGATGACATTCGAAAGGGTCGTTGTAGGAATAACCGTATCCAGCTGGGTGTACCTGCCAACACCACCAGGGCTCCAAGCCAGGTCCAGGGTTATGGGCTCTACGCCCTAACCGACATTCCAAGCGGGGACTTCATTGGCGAATATGTCGGAGAGATCATCAGTAAAACGGAGGGCGACAGAAGAGGCGCGCTCTATCATCTCCGAAATCAGGAATATCTCTTCGCCCTCAATGCAACTCAGGAGATTGACGCGTCCAACCATGGCAACAAGACGAGATATATGAACAACTCGCTTAAAGAAGAGAACGTTAATGTGGAGCCTAAAAGTCTGTGGTGCAATGGACAGGCGCGGATCGGGCTTTTTGCAAAGCGGCGTGTCGACGCGGGAGAAGAGCTGTTGTGGACATATGGTTACAGTGAGGAACATGTCAAGAATTTCTGGGAGCCAGGAGAAAAGCCCGCAAGTGATAGAGCACTGCTCCCATATTCGGCGGAACGTGTCACGCGGACCACAGGAACAGATAAGCTAGCAAAAGCAGCCAGCAACAACGCTCGAGAAGATTGCAGCAGCCAGTCTCGTATGCTACTTCAGCAACTGAAGCGTAGGAGAGAGGATGGTCAGAGCCATGGGGCAAGGTCGGGCGCCGATGAAGAAGCAGCACACAGTTCAATGCAGGGCTCCAGGGGCAGCCCAGCAGACGAGACGACGCAAGATCCACCAACTGAGGATGCGGAGGATTCTGATTATGATGCTAGGGCTCATGTATCGGAGGACGAGTGGGATGCGGAGTCTGATCTTGACGGTTCCCGGAAAAAGAGGACCAAGATGCAACGGCGCAGGCGGACTAGCAATAATGGGGCCAATGACAAGAGAGGACGAGAGAGAGCAAGCAACCACAAGCATGGGAAAAGAAGGCAGAATTCCAGATGAAAGACGGGGACGAACTTGGTCGAGCCGTACAACCTGTTCAGTGTTAGGGACCACGCCGAAGCCCCAGGAAAGGAAGACTTAGCTCTCTAACTGCTCGCTTGTTAGCCTTTTGTGGGTCGTTGCTTTGCCTCGTGGAGATGGCCCAGGGACAATGGAAGCCGGAACAAATGATGAGAACCGTGGTTCGCCTGTTGGACGGATCGACATTGATTCCCAGCTGCAGGGTTGCGTGACGGGCATGATCTATGCTCGCTATGGATGTACTGTAGGTACTAACTACTGGGTAGGGGCCAGCTACGGATTCCTCGGTCGGACAGTGGCGGTGCTACATTCCTTCCCGTAGCTTGGGCGGTTGAAAGATACTGTATTAGCCTGTTGGGCAGATGAGGAGCTTAAGGGTCTCCACGACGGAGCAAGTGTCCGTGTTCGATGCTCTGTATTTGTCCCTGTACGAGTACTATTAGGGTATATGACAAAAGGAGCTACGAGTAGCTTGTCTATAGTAAGCTGTCACTGTGTGTGTCTGTCTTTATCTTTGATTCTTCGACGCAGTTCGATGACGTGAGCGGCGTGAATGTGGTGGCTGGCCCGCCATGTTGCTCTAGTGACTACTTAGTGCACCTGGAGCCACCTATGACGACCACAGAGGGCGGCTTCCCAGCCTACTAGCTGCCTGAAGCCACCTACGACGACCAGCCGACCTAGTTATTGGTGAGTAGTGGTGCAGCGGCTCCCGGCCCTTATTCATCGCTGGCTCTGGATGCCCTGTGTGCCTGAATGCCACGCAGCTCCAGCTCAAAAACCCAAAACCTGCAGCTTCCCCAAGCTCAGAGCTCGATCTTCTCACACAGCTCCATTCTCCTCCTTCTGTACCTGCGCCGCGTGAATATTTAATCCCCAACCCCTCCTCTGTCCGCTGTCTGCTGTCTGGCTGTCAATTTGGCCGAGCCTGGCTTTGGTGAGTCGATATTGATTTCCATTCACCGTTGGATTGATGTCCGGAGTGGCAGTGGAGCCAACAAGTGTTGCTGTTGCGGGCCCGTTCTCCTCGCTGTCGCCGTCACCACTTGCTCCAGACGGCCGCTCCTGGGGGCTGGGAGCTGGGGCCGACCATGCCCAATGCCCATACCAATGCCGATGACCAGCACACATGAGGCACCGAGGCGGCCCTATCATACGAGGTACTGGGTACAGCCCTTCGGGCTCAAGCCACAGCTCCCGCTCCATTCCGGCACGTCATTCTGGACCGTGAACCCTCGACCTCTTTGTTGAAACCTCGTCACTATGCAACATTCCTGTCACTGCCATCTTCGCTGACTCCCTTATCCGCTACTTTCGTCATAAACCACAGAAACATCAACAATCTGATCATCTTCAACGGCTGGCGTCATTTCGTTAGAATTCTATTCGCTCTTTGCTAACACCACGTCACACACAGAGAGTGCCTAGACCACCTCCGCCCGTGCCCTGCCTGCGGTCATCCAGCTGAGCACCATCGCGCCTGTGCCCCTCAGACCACACCTCCCCTTCACCCACCACCATCACCAAAACTACTACCACCGCCACTCCCGTCTCTCAAGATGCATCGAACATATTCCATGCGCCAATCGCGCGCTCCTACAGCTTCTCAAATTGAGAACCCTCCGCCGCCGCCGTCTTCCACAAAAAGTGGCCGGCTGTTCGGCCGGGGCAACTTTGGTATACAATGACCCTTGGACGTTATGGCCACACACTGCAGCTCCCAGCGCTGACACAGAGGAATAGGACATGCTTTCCGAAAGGGCACGGCGGGCGCATTTGGGCCAGATCTGGCCAAGAAGCTCTCCCAGCTCGTCAAGATGGAGAAAAACGTCATGCGCAGCATGGAATTGGTAGGCCGAGAGCGAATGGAGGTTGCCGTAAGTACTCGGGTTGTCCCTGATAGATGGTTTCGTGTCTAACTGGTGGCCTGACAGCAACAACTCTCCCTCTGGGGCGAAGGCTGCGACGAGGATGTTAGTGATGTTACCGACAAGCTAGGCGTTTTGATCTACGAGATCGGCGAACTGGAGGACCAGTTCGTGGATCGCTATGACCAATACCGCATAACCATCAAGTCGATCCGCAACATTGAAGCCTCTGTCCAGCCGTCGCGAGACCGCAAGCAGAAGATCACAGACCAGATTGCGCAGCTCAAATACAAAGAACCCAACAGTCCTCGAATTGTCGTCCTGGAGCAGGAACTCGTCCGGGCTGAGGCCGAGTCACTGGTCGCCGAAGCGCAACTCTCCAACATCACGCGCGAGAAGCTCAAGGCTGCTTTCAATTACCAATTTGATGCGGTTCGCGAACACTGCGAAAAGGTGGCCATTATTGCTGGCTACGGGAAGCATCTGTTGAATCTCATCGACGATACTCCTGTCACTCCCGGCGAGACGCGCAACGCCTATGACGGATATGAGGCTTCCAAGGCCATCATTCAGGATTGCGAAGATGCCTTGACGAACTGGGTCTCGTCCACGGCGCAGGTCAGCGCCAAGCTTTCCACCCGCTCACGCACGCTCAGCCAGAGAAGGAGAGCCAGCGCCCACAAGGGCGAGGGAGTCGATCTGGCCAGCCAAGACCCACCGATGAAGAATGATCGCGACGGCTGGGTTCCCGCAGGCCAACACGGCGAATATGAGCAGGAGGAGGAAGAGGAGGAGGAAGAGGAAGAAGAGGAAAGACCGCAGCAGACCAATGGTGAGTTCTCGCCAGCTGTTCCAAACAAAAATGATCATGTGACGAAGGATGCTAACCTCGATTTCATCCTCAGGTCAACATGCCGTGGCAGCTTAAAAGCAGATGGAGAGTCCAATTACCATAAGCCAGACTGCGGACGAACAGGGCATGACCAAGTTTCCACGACGACGACGACGACGACGACGACGACGACGACGATGATGACGATGAAGATGACGAAGCAGGTGGCTAAGTGACATGGAGTGGACGATGAGAGTACTTGGCCCGATGGCATGGACAAAACCACCTGGCCAGGTACCCATTGGATGGCGCAGCAGGACATCCGGAGTTGATGTATGAAGGGCGAGTGGGCACAGCAGAGGAACTTGTCGTCAGGAATTGCGCTCTCTTTTGTCTATGTTATCTCTTGAATCCGCGAGAATACACGACCGTCGTCGAATAGGTTGGGATGGATGCAAAAACCAAAGGAAAAGGGAGTCAAGTCCCATGTCATGTTGTCGCACCGCGGTAATCATAATGGAAGCAGAATCTGGCGTATTTTAACGGCGCAATGAAAATGTATCCAAGTGTCATGTCGGTGATGGCTATTCCGTGGCTCAAGTGAGGTCCTTCTTGGTGAGTCGCACGAATAGTCAGTAGTACTCGGGACATCAAAGCTGTTTTCCGTTTTTGAGTTCTCCCAAGGGCCGTAATAGCAATAAGTAATAGCCGGGTAATCGAGAGCATCACGTGGCGAACAGCTGGATGATGCTCGCGTGGACAGGCGGGTGTCTATAAATAGACTCTCTGCTTTGCTCTAGCTGATGGACCTGCTTATCCAAGCTGAAGGCGAGCATTCAGCAGTAATACTAGTGGTAGTAAGTCAAGGCAGCTTTTCTGATCCTGGAATGGTACTGTAGTAGGATCACAGGCTCGATCCTTGCCGCTACGAGAAATTACGCGGCAGCAGCTAAGAGCCGAGCTTAACTACCTATGGAGGGAAGGTGTGTACTGCCTACTCGGTCCCCGTACAAGTAAATACTGGCTCAGGTACGAGGTAGAGAGAGCTAATGGGCAAATTCACCATGAGAAAGGGATAAAGGGCCAAGGAGACCGAATTCTGCGCCAGTCAGCACGGTAGCGACGATCCCTCGGTGGCCGGTTCATGACCCATGGAGATTTCAGCCGCTTCGCTTGCGTCTGTCTATTACGACTCGTTATGCCGTTCTATGGTGGCCTTCTGCGCCATCCTGCGCCATCCTGCGCCATCTTCTCTGGGCACTGGCCACCTCTGAACCACCAAGAACCAGCTGAGCCACCAGCTCCTCCTCATCCACCGTCCTGCTGTGCCACCTGAGGTCCAAGGGAAGAAATACATATGAATTCACTGACCATCGCGCAGCTTCACTGACCTCTTGACTTCATGCTTACTCGACCCTAGCCGTACTTGATTCCTCGCCCTCTTCTACAGCTTCGGTGCATACTCGGTCCTTGTCATCCATCGCTGTCGCCATCGCCATCCACTCTCCATCCGCCCTGCAGGATTGGGCCTACACATTGTCCATCTCTGGCAATTCGCCTATCCTCGATTCTCTCCAGTGTCCACCACGACCTAAAACTCTCCCTGCGACCGCTAGCCTGCCAACTGCTCCCGCCGAAAGTTCAAAAACTGCCCCCATAATCTTACGGCCCCCGACCCAACAGCAATCTGTCACATCTCACTTTTGTTCGCCATTATCTGTCGCTCTTCTTTTCCTCGGGGGGTGAAAAAAAGTTATTTTGTATCACTTTTTTTTTTCATCATCTTCATCTTGGACCACTGCCTCGCACCGAGTCTCTCGTTTGCCATTTGCAATCGCCATCGCCCGTGGAGATCGACCAGATCTCGAAATTTGGAAGTGTTCCCCGCACCTGAATCCCTTCTCTCCAAAACCCGCCTCAGCTGAACTGCGATTGAAACGAAAAGAAGCGAACTCGTCTCACTTTTCGAGCACACAACCACTCTCGGAACCTGACAGCATCAATTCAGCATGGTCAACCCAGGCCGTGTCTGCTGCATAGCAGCGCCCTTCCTCCTCTCAATAGCGGTGTTAATATGCATGGTACTGGTCTTCCTTGCCGGTACCTTTGACCGCAACAAGACGCTCGACGACCTGTACTTTATAAAGGTAAGCAGGGCTATGGCCACGGATTCAAGAATATTCCATCTAACACGCACTGTGGCTTTAGATCGACATGACCAACCTCACGTTAACCTCCTCCGCGAACCTTGCAGGAGCAGACTCTAACATCACCATCCTGGGTGGCGCCCTCGAAGCCGCCAAGCAGTCCCTGGGTATGAAAGACTACTACACAATCTACCTTCGCAGCTACTGCAGTTGGAATGGCAACGATGTCTACGCAAACTGCACCGACCCCAAAGCCTACTTTTGGTTCAACCCGATCAAGGTCTGGGGCTTGAACAGCACGAGCGTCCCGGCCGACAGCTACCTGCCCAAGAGCTTTATCGATGGAGTGAACGTGTACCACAGCGCTTCCAAAGCCATCTTCTACTTGTACGTGGGTGCTCTGAGTGCCGCGTGCGTCACCATCCTCGTGGGCATCTCCGCCATATTCTCACGATGGGGTTCCTTCTTCACCACCTTCTGCGCTTCCGCCATGGCCCTGCTCCTGGTGGCGGCATCCATCACCGCCACAGCAGTCTACATCGTCCTGAAAGCCGCCTTGAACGACACCTTGAAGAAGGACTACGGCATCAAGTCGACATTGGGTGGTTCGATATTCTCGGTCTCGTGGATTGGTAGCGCGTTTGCGGTAGCGGCGGCATTCTTCTGGCTGCTGAGCGTCTGCTGCTGCAGTGGGAGAAGCCCCTACAACCCAGGCAGCAAAGAGGCAAGACGCACAAGGGCGGAAAAGACCCCGTATACCTATGAGAGGGTGGGCAGTCCGTACATGGGTCCGAGTGATCACCAGAGTGTGCCGTTGAACACGCTTGGTCCCCAGTCGTATGCGCCGCAGAGGGGCGCTGCTTATGAACCCTTCAGACCGCAAGGTGTCTAAAAATGTATACTTTTTCGGGAACAAAGTCTTGATTGGGGAGCCGATGGTGAAGCTTGGTTTACGGTTACATTGCAACAACGGTGACAATTTGTTGGTGGTTTGGGCAAAGGAAGGGATATGACTTTCGGGTTGGAGTATATATGCTCGCCATTGACGCGGAATAGCCCAGACAGGTAACGACGGCATCTAGAGCATTCGGCGCGCCAGCTCAATAACAGAACAAACAACACTACATATGTACCAGACTTTGTTGACTCTGGAGTGGATTGCGCGTTCCCCGTCTTGGACTTTGGAACTCGAAACTTGGAGCTTCGAGCACTGCCTTCTGCCTTCTGCCTTCCGCATCGTTGCGTTGGTTGCGTTGGTCGCGCCTTTAAACAGGAAAACTGGGAATCTATACGTACACATGTATATACCTCCGGCGGCTGGGGTTATATATCGAGTACGAATCGAGTACGGCGTACATCTATATTACATGCACTCGGAGCACATACCGAGCTCGCCGAGTTCATACGGAGCTAGCACACATGGAGGAAACATGTCACCATATCCTGATCTATCTGTCGATCTATCCATGTCGGTTGGTTTCAATTGTTACTTTTTCTTTTCTCCTCTCCGATTTTTTTTTTGTTTTTTTTAATTCTTCACTCACTCACTCTACAACACCCCTCCATCCCCCGCGCGGCTTGTAGCCCACGAGGCCTTCATCCCTCGCCACGTCGGCCGCGGTGCGGCCCGTCAACACACTGACTTCGACGTCCCTGCCCAGGACATGGAAAGGTTCAAATCCACCCAACGATCCAGCGTCGTCGGCCGCCCCGTCTTCGTCACCGCCCTTTGATTCGCGCTTGACCTCGGACGACGAGGACAGACGCGGCCGCTCCCACACCTTCCGCCCAAAAGCGGCTTGGTTCGTCGGACGGAAGCCGCAGGCGGCGCGGTCGAGCGAGAGAAACCATCGGCGTTGGTGGATCGAGTTGATGCTGTTGGTCGCACCGGGGTAGGCGTTGTTGAGACGGATCGAGGCTTCTTCTTCGTCCTCCAACCCCACGTCTGCCTCGGCTGGTTTCTTCAGTGGGGGGAGATGGTCCTTCCAGTCACTGCGGACGGCTTGGGTTGTGACGGGGATTGTAGGTGGCGTTGGCTCCTGGTCTCGGTCGCGGCCTTTCCTGGGAGAAATAGAACGTTTCGACCGTGGTGGAGATGCTGTGCGCACAAGAGAGGATAAGCTTCGGTGGACTCGGGGAGAGCGTCTCGAACTGAGATGATCGAGGTCGGAGTCCGAGGGTAGTTCAACAAGCGGAGAGCTTGATCTGCCTGAATCTGAAGCCTCAGTTTCCTCGGGTTGCGGTTCCCGACGCAATGGCCCAGTCGAGCTCTGATGATTCCGCTTTCGCCGCTTAAAAGGTGGCGCGTCAGGCTGGACGAATCTGTTGTTCTCGTGACTGAGTCGCAGATTGAGAGTGTAGTTCTTTGGCAACCGGGTGCCGTGCAGACGGAGCTTGATCTTGCGATTCTGGAATGCGCGGTGGAGTTTCGATGGTTCAGACTCTGCCTTTTCTTTGCCGGGCAAATCGCTGTCTACATCCAGGTCCGAATCCTCGGTGGATGTAGCATCACCAGTCGCGCTGGTTCTGCCGGAAGACGGATTATAGGCCAACACCTCGTATTCACCAGTATCCCAGAGCAGCATCGTGCCAGTATCATGTGAGGCTGTCTCGATCAGATGATTCCACAAGTTATGCACTCTGGTCTCGGTGGCATTGCGATTCAACTTTCTGCTATTCGGGTTGCCGGGAAGGCCGTACATGATGGCAAAACTGATTGAGCTCGATGCATTACATTGTAACCGGAGATCATAGTGAGTTCCAGCTATGGGATGGTCATGCTGATGAACAACGAAATGGTGGCCCCTGTCATTGAGGTTTCGGTTGTACAGAGCTAGCCAGTCAGAGTGGGAGAGACGCGGCTGGCCTTCAACGGGTGGACGTGTGGACGTGAGAAGTTTGGACGAAAAGAAAGACACATGGTCTCGGATCTGGAGCTCACCAGCTTCGACGGCTGCTGTAGTCGATTTCGTTTCGGATGTCGATGTGATGCTGGGACCAGTGTAGGACTTACGGCTAAGACGGCGTGGATTGGGCAGAGGAGGTGAGATGGATCGTCTCAGAGAGGCCGGCAAGGCGAGATCCGAATGAGAATACTCTGGTTCTGGCTTGGCCGCCGGATTGTCTATATTTGTATCAGAGTTGCGTCTCTTCATTAACACTGACGGCGCCACATGTCGCAGGCTCAGATGTCAATACCTGTGCTCAGTGCAAAAGTACTCACGCGGAAAACCTATCCTTCGTTGTCCCCCTCTAATTAGACGCTCGCCGTTTTACTCCCGCTCGGGTCACCTGCTGCTTCCTGAGCGCTCCCTAAGCGATCCCCGAGTCTGCCTAAGCGCTTTTAGTTTTCCTTGTCACCTCTCGTTCACAACATCAACTTATATCAACTTTAGACGATGGGACCCGTTTAAGATGCTGGGGGTTCTCAGTTTAGCCCCCTTTTCTAATATACTCGCCCTGCTTAGGCGCGCTGCTCCTGTCCCTTGTGCTCCCGACATGTAACTAAAGCGGCAAGGGCAGCTAATAATCGTATGCGGTCTACAAGTACTTGGCTGAGTTACTGCCAAGGTGTGGTTCAACTGCTCGCGGCTCACCCCCGATCGGGAAAGAGGATGATGCCGCCCTTGCTCACCTTTATCTCCTACTTTTTCAGGGTTTGTTGGTCACCCTCTCTACAACGCACGCAAAATATATGACGGTCTACCAAAAAGGGAAAAACAAAAAAGACTAATCGACGTCTACAGGATTCGAACCTGTGCCTCCGAAGAGAACACCTTGACTGGAAATAGCAGGGTGTCTACCAATCTGTTAGACTATGAAGCTCATGAAGTCTGCACGTTGTACTTACCGCCTTAACCACTCGGCCAAAACGTCGTGGATAATTGTTGACATATTTTGAAACTCAAATATATATGCCTTTGCACCCTATCTGAATGAAATTACAAACGCCGAGGTGCCGCCGTCTTTGTGGCCACCAGCCACACTTACCTGCTCGATGGGTGGCTTAGCGTGCAGGCTCGGCGAACTATTTTGACACGCTGAAGCCTTGACGGGCGCAGGTCTTCTTCCTCTTAGTTCATACCCCATGAGAGCTTCGTTACTTGGCCTGCCGTGCTTGTGCATAACAATCTTGGCCAAGGATCGTGAGTTGAGACAGGCTTTGGAACTTGCCAGCTGGCAGCCTCGCGACGAAACTCTTCAACCAGTCGGGACTGGTGCAGGGCAACCGTAGATGACTTTGGAAACCGCTATTTGAGGAGCCACGGCATCTCTCCCGAACTTTCGTGCTCATCAGGCCAGGCAGGCGTCAACTTATATTGGTCGCGAAAAGCAACTATCCACTGTGGTAGGGAGCACTGTGTGACAATAGCATACCGTGCTTCCCGGTTCTCCACCAGATTCAAGAGCGCAAAACCCTTCGGGACAAGCACGCGAATTAGAATACTGGCAATTTTGTGAATGTCTGATGTTTGGAGGAATTTTCTATCTTGATCGTGAGTGCCAGAGATGATTTGGCATAGTTCTTCTGGCCTGAGCTAGCTTCTTCCCCGGGGCCATTATCGAAGTCTCTAGAAGGTATAGAAGTATTCGAGGGCGCACCACGAACAACAAGCGAAATACCACTTGATTATTCTCGTCAGAGGATCATGGGAAATGGTGAATCTCCCCACCTTCACCTGGACCGGGGAGCGTCATGTGTAAGTGACCCGTCTAAAGTTGTTTATGCTGCTTGACTGCTTGCGTTTAGGCATAAGTGAACTGGCAAACAATCGCGTCCGACATAAGTCAGCGCTTCCACTATTTCATTCTTTGGATCAATCTCAACCTCATCCATTCTTGATTTTTTTCTTCCATGGCAAACCGACGATTCAGTCATGGACGTCCCTTGCAGATGGACAGGCTGCGGGAAGCTAATCTCGTTCCCTAGTCTTCCCCGGCATATCTACAATGTACACGGTCTCGCTAGTGGCTTTGGATGCGATTTTTGCGGGGTTCATGATACATCAAGTCAAGCAGAGCAAATCATCCGCTCTCATATCGGCCAAGAACATCCGAGGCGAGCTGCACTGGTATGCCTTACCAACCGTGCCTTAGCACACTGCTATCGACGCCGATTCATAGAAAACAACCCAGCTACGAGAGGAGTGGCATCAAATTCCTACTGAAATCGCCATCATACGGACAGCGTTAGCTCGTCGGAGCAGCGCAACAAGCCGCCCGGAAATCTACTCTCACCCGTGAAGGGCGCTGGACAGTTCGACCTCCTAGTTGCTCAGAACCAGTCTGACCATTCAGAAACCCCGACGCAATTCACTTCTCCCGAGAGTCACGAGTATCCCGGGCGTTCGAACCATCTTGAACCTTCCGAGGCACAGTATTCCTATGAAACTCCTGAAGAGCAAACCTACATCAATTCCCTCCAAGCGCAAGAGAACCATGAACCTCATCAAAAGAGACAAAAATATGTCGAGCTTCTTGGAGAGCCCTGCCGAGATTGCAGCGCTGCTGCCAGTAATGACTCACTGGAAGTACTTTGCCACACTTGCCGAGCAAGACGAAAGCAAGCATGAACCCCATGAAAAGGTATTCGATGCAGATGAACACAGCGATGATGAAGATGAGGATAGTGATATTCAAGATAAAGTGGTCAACGAAGCGTCAAGAGATTCAATGGATTGGGACTTTAGAGAACAACAAACCTGCCTCGATTCGACCTACGAAATACCAGTGATGCGTGCCAACCCATTAAATATTGCGGAAAAGAGTCTGCGAAACACAATTTTGAGTTGCATCGATGGGCTAACTGTCAAACATGTCGCGGACATCCTTGGAAAGCATGGTACTAAGCTTGTTGAGGGTTGCACGTATCGCGTTAGCTAGAACCTGCTAAGCGATGTGAAGTTTTCTCTCAACCTCGACAATGTGGTCGTCGCAATGCTCAAAAACAGCCGCTGAGAATGTAAAGTCCCTCATTGCGGAGCCACGTTTAAGCATGTAGTTGGTGTCTATATGCACCTGCAGGCACATGGCACGATACTTCTCACCAAGTGGTATTGTGGCGGTGTCAGTTCTACCGGAAAAGAAACGGCCTTTGACGATCGTGCTGCGTTTGACTCACATATCGTGACCGATCATATGGGCTCACAAGTATAGCAATGCAGCTGGACGACGAGTGCCTAGGATTGAGGTCCTGCTGACCAGTCTCATTGGGAAATTGAAAAAATCCTCCAACCTAGTAAAGCAATGAGGAAGCGGTCGCATACCTTCAACCCAACCGCTGCGAGGGATGGGAGCATGTGAATTAGGTATTCTATCGGGTTCAAAAAAATCAACGCACACCGTGGATATACTCAAAAAAGCCCTAGAATACCTCTTAGATTATCACAGCCTAGTCTCCATTTCCAGAACCAATCCGGGCGCACTCCTCAGACATCTTCGGTTGCCAGGCGGAGAAGTGGCAGAGAGATTTGAAGCGCCTGCAGAAAAAGATCAATCTAGCAAATGGCGATCAAGCAAGAGATCAAGCAAGAGACTACCAGTCGCGCAAGTATACTCACCGGTGCCCTTGGCCAGATTGTGGGTATGTGACAAGCCATCCTCCACTTATTCGCCTCCATTTCTTACCATCTTACATGGGGTGACTGAGAGGATGCCCCGAGAAGGGTTGTGACTATGTCATGTATCGGGAACCTGACTTTCTGGAACGTCACAGAATGCAGTGCCATATTAGCAGCCCTCTCCAGTGCGGCCATCAACACTGTAGCCAAGCGTATTCAAGGGACCATCTCGCAAGCAGAGGCCATCTGCACTACGCCACTCTCCATCGGCACTTTGAGCTCCATTTCAAAAGGTGTCGAAATAGCTCTCAGATTCCAACTCAAATCCGAGACTCAGGTTTATTGAGTACAGTTCGTGTGCCTGAAGGGAAGCTTCCTTCGAATGGCGAACACTGGAACACTGATGCTGGACGAGCTCGACGTACCTAGAGGCGGAACGCCGGTCCTATCGAAAATCACGAAATTACCAGTTCCTAGGTGGCCGCGAAGACGTCGTTGTTCAGGGTCAGAAGATGACTTGTTCCGGATTTTGGTACCACGATCGCCACTTCTCTTGTGTGGACTCTGTTCCTTTGAGCCTCGAGACAGCCATAGCGATCTTTGTCCCGAGATGGCTACAATATACGCTGACACCGACTTGTGACTTTTGTATCCACATCATGTCGTTGATCTCACGGCCGTTAGCGAGTCTGCCGCTGCCATATTGTTTTGGAGAACAAGTCTGACTTGGAGCCGAGGATTCGGGTTGGTATTGGCCAGTTTATCAACAACCACGCCTCCTTTGAAATAACGAGAGCCTCTAAGGATCTCCCCCAGAGCGGAGGAGTATAGACACTTCAAGTTGACACTTCCCTGGCGCATTTTCATTGTCGATTTTGAAACGGTGTATCACCAGGCGCAAAAAAATCCGCCTCGATATCTCCTCTAACTTTACTGTTCGTGATGGAAATGGTAAAATCATTGTGAGCTGCGTTATCAACAATGAAGGGTCACTAGCACCATGTTCGAGGTTGAAGTTCGGCGCACAGGGTATACCTCTCCAAGAAAGCTAGGGCTTAAGAGACATCGAGGGCCTACGGAGATCAAACTCCCTCGCAACGCCAAAACGCCAAAGGAGATAGTTGACATCCTGATTTCTGCAGGCTTGAACTCTAACATACTCTGGATAGAATATTCCAGAGGCTGCTTTGACCGACATTGCATGGAGCTTCTCATCAAACAAGCTGGGATGTCGCCCGAATCAATCCTTCCGCTTCCCGATAGATGTGGGACGGTTCTGCAAGATTTAATGCTTTGCCTACCGGGTAAGTCAACACTGACTCATTTTTACCCTGCCGCATCTAACAGTACTCACAGGCCTGGCCTCGTACAAACTCGGTCGCATTGCTCCGTTGATGAATACAGAGAATCCAAATTTGCAGCGACTGCATTTCTCAGATGCGGATGCTGCGGTTCTCTCCGATGTTCTTAACCTCTGGGTCTTCAAGTATGGGGGATCTGAAACGGTCTAATGGAATAGGATGATGCTGCTGGGGGCAAATGTACCTATTGATCAAGGCAAAGAGAAGCATGCGTTTCATGGGATTTGGGCGTCGTTCGAGAGGATAGAATGGCCCATGAGGATCAGCTGGGAACTGGGAGCGGATTTGGGGAGACAGCAGTCAATCGAACTCCGTGGTTTGGTTCGAGCAAAGGCAGCCTATCTAGACTCTTCTGTAATGAGCATGCGAGATAATCCAATCCTTAACGCCTACAACATCTCAACACGCGTAAATCTAGCGACAGCCCGTCTCAAGAATATTTCCGAACCTATGATGGAGTACAACACAACCAACCACAATCCGTGCCACAGCCAATGCGAGAACATATCTCCTTGGAGTCTAAACTTCCTCTGCACATTAAACGCCTGACCGTACCTCATGCCGTGGATATAGCACTCCCCGATCAAGGTAAGTGTTTAGAAGAGATGAAAGGGACGCTATTTTATACTTGAGGTGGGTGAGTCGAAGGGGAGAGGAGAGGGGGAGGAAGGTTAGGAGAGAACCTAAGGGAAAGAGCCGGTTATAGAGACCTAGAAATAGAGCCCACCGATTGTCGCCCATAATAGGACCAATCTTGAGAATCGGAGTAAAAGAAACTGAGTAGAATTTAGACCGTCGCGATGCGGGTTAGTTAGAGCGTGAGTCGAGGGGTAAGCAAGAGGTGAGACCAAGGTGAGACGAGGGTAAGTCGTGAGCAGGTGGTTTTAAAAGCGGCGAAATCTGAGTAGATGTACCGTTGCTTGAAGTGGTGATGATTCAGGAACACAAGGGATCTAAAGTCTTTAAAGAGAAATGCTATCTACTTCTCAAAATATTCGCTGGAGGCGTGCCCTTTAATCTAGGAGCTGAAATAGAGGTATCACTTGCCCATCTAACTCTCTCACCGGGTGAAAGACCAAGAAAACCTTCCTTTCTAGATTACCACCTTAAAACCGTCACAAGCCTCATAGACATGCACCCTCACATCACTTTTCATCTAGAGTTCCATTCACTATAAGACTGGGGTCAATAGAAAGACCTCTTCCAGGCTAATCAGGTGATATCAACCTCGTCTCGTAATTCGTCGTCGTTGTTACGCTGTGGGCATTATAAGTGGTGCCCTTGAATTCGCGAAGGGCGAACCTCGAATCAGCAATCACGTGACCCTTCACGTGACCACAGGTCTTCGGTTAGGCTCAGGTTAAAGTAGCCTTCGCTCGCCCTCTAGGATTATATTGTATATGGCAGTTATGTTTTTCACTCTCGAGTAAGTAATCTCGGTAGCAAGATAGGTCAGAGGAGTCCGAAAAGGGAAAGTCGGAGGCTGAGCACCATTCGGTTCATGATGTCATTGCCAAGGCGAATTCCTATGATGACTAAGGATTGATGTCAGCAGCTGATTGGCTTGTATTGGGAGGCAGTCTTTCGCTTACCCAAGAATTGGATAACCATTTCCACTCGCTTACTCCAATGTGTTTTCTCCTTGCCTGACTGTTGACTTACAAAGTCTACTATAATGCGCCCTGGAGGCTGTTCTCGAGGTGTCCACAATGCTCTCTCCGACACCCAGGTCCAAGTATATAAGTTTTCTTCCCACTCGATGTTCTCCAGTTTAGCCCATCAAAAAACGAAACTCTTCATCACATCAACAGCACTTCTCACAGCTCTCACAGCGATTTTCATGCTCAGCAGCAGCAATAACATCATCCCAAATACACAGGATTCTATGAGAGCAACCGCCGTGCTCAGAGCAACCATGTCGAGCTTGTCACACGCGAAGATCACCCCGCGACCTTCCAAGACCCGAGGCGCAGCCAACCATGGCTGGCTCGACACCAAACATACCTTCTCCTTCGCCGGATGGTACGACCCCAGATACATGCAATACGGATCCCTCCGCGTATTGAACGAAGATCGCGTCATGCCTGGTGAAGGGTTTCCGACACACTTCCATCAAAACGCCGAAATCTTCTCCTACGTGCTGTCGGGCGAACTGACCCATCGCGATTCCATGCAAAAGAAGGGCGCCGAATCTGACGACAAGGACAAATTTTACCGCTTGCACCGCGGGGATGTACAATTTACCACGGGCGGAAAGGGCATTTCTCACAGCGAGTACAACGAACATAACAAGGATTGGGTGCATTTTCTTCAGATCTGGGCATTGCCATGGAAGCGGAACTTGCCGCCTATCTACCACACCAGCACTTTTTCGGACGAAGACAAGCGCAGAGACTTTGTCACCATAATCACCCCATTGAAGGCCGGGCCTAATGCCACCTTGGAGGACGAGAAGGCAGCCATCCCCGCCAAAGAGGGCACGATTCCCATTCATGCCGACCTCGTATTCAGTGCCGGCATCATCCCCACAAACCACACATTCAACTATCAGATCGGCGGCGGAGATGTCGTCACATCCAAATCCGACCGAAAAGTGTACATCCACCTGCCGGAAACGAAAGGGGGCAAGGCCAAGATCCGGCTAGACGGACGAGAAGACGCGATCCTCAAAGAAGGAGACGGTGCATATGTGAGTCATGTCAATGCGGGAGACATGCTCAAGGTTGAAAGCATTGGGGACGCAGAGGCGGAGGTTGTGGTTATCGACTCGGACTGAGAGGCTCAAAAGGGATGGACAATGGCACAATTTGGGAATATGGATTAATTGAACGTTTTATGTAGCGAAGGAGCTCTCAATGAATACTCAGCATATATGCTCTAACAATCGCGTCATGTTGTTTTCCATGGGCCCAGTGCAGGCTTCCTTGGAGCCCCGTATCTCTCCAATCATTCTCTTAAAACCAGTATCTGAGTGAGTCATTGGGAGTCTGCCGAGTCGCGGATCTGCGACCAGAATTGCGGAGTCACGACGAGGTAAGAGTCACGCAGCCATTAGTCGACTAGGGAGCGAGTACTGGGTAGAGGGTGCCACTGGTTATTGAGAGGGGTGGTGGACGATGGCCGGGGAAGCTAGCGACCTACTGTAGTCGCCTAGTCACCTAATAGTCATCTACTGGGTAGTCACCTAGTAACCCTTGAGCGACCAAGGCGAATGGCGACAAGCTCCTATTAATCTACCTGCCCAATCTTGTTTCACCTCCCGAATACGAGGTTGCACGTTTTGCAGCGGCAACTTCAGCTTCAACCGGTGACGATATCTTCAGTAACAGATAGAGACAGAGACAATCCATTGTGCATAATTACGGCTGCCATCGACTGCAATCAGCTGGATGAAAATTCCGGGGTCCGTGTCCGGCCTGCACAACATCACCTTACAAACACACCAAGACTCAACCACTCTCTTTTCCCTCTCTCTGATTTCTTCTTTCTAGACACCTCCCCCCTCGACGTTCCATCCAAGGTGCCGTATGTGCCGGTGCAATGTGTCCTTGAAATCTCTAGCTGTCTGATCTGTCTACATTGGCCCGCGGCCACCATCATGACAGCCCATCACATCTCATCATCGGTCGCAATCTCAATAGCATGTCTGGCCGTTGTAGGCGCTTTGTCAACTCCAGCATTCCGCCAGTTTCTGCTTCGCATTCGACCCAAAAAAGGACAATACCAGGAGCTCTCGCGGCGGTATGAGGACAAAGATGGAAAGGCCACGGAAGAATCTCAGCGAGCGTGTTCCGACGTGGTCGTCCGTTGGACACTAATTATCGTTTCTGCCATCGCTTGCCTCGATGCTTTGGCCACCGCGATATTGACAACGAACCGGCCCAATCTATCTCTCACCCTCGAACAGTGGCTTCAATTTGCAACCTGGGTAAGCCTTGTGATGGATACCGGGTGAAAGCGAGTCGCATCGTCTGACGTCTTTTAGTCGCTGATTTTGTCCCAAACTGTGGCCATCTACGTGACGCCCTCGTCAACGCAGCGATACCGTCTTGGGATCTTTACCGGCTTCTCATGTCTGCTCATCGCCGTTGCTGTGGCGGTCGAGAACATATCGCTATGGCAGTCGAAAGTCGCCCCGCTTCCGCGGAACGCCCATCTTCCATTATCGCTCGTTCAGTTCATCGCTGGGATCCTTCTCCTCTTTGCCAGTCTGTCCATCCCACGGCGGCCGGACGTCTTTTGGAATGACAAGGTGGTCGACCGGCAAAACACCGTTTCTGTCCTGGCCAAAATAACCTTCTCCTGGGCGTCGGCGATTCTTTCTTTCGCGGTGAAGAACAAGGGCCTCGACTACGATGATCTTTACGAGATTGACCACGAAATTCGATCTCGAGAATTAAGAGCCAGCTTCGAGGCTGTCGGACGCAAAGACAAACTATGGAAGACGCTCTTTTGGTCACATAAGTGGGCCTTCATCCAACAGTGGGTTCTGCAGGCAACATGCTCCATCACGGATTTCCTACCCCAAATCGCCCTTTACTTCATTCTCAAGACACTCGAAGCCCGAGATGAAGGCGAAGATGTGGCGCTCACGTCATGGCTGTTGGTGATCGGCCTCGGCTTAGCCATTACTTTTTCGTCATGGCTCGAGGCGTGGATGTTCTTCATCACATTCATGAAGATTGGCGTGCCAATCTACGAACAGTTGTCGGCCGTCGTGTTTGGAAAAGCCATCAGGCGAAAAGATGTCAAGGGCACGGGCAAGAAGCAGGAAGAGGAGGCAGCAAATGGCAATTTGAACGGCGAAGTTGTGGTCAGCGTGGACGATGGCCCCAAGGGAGGAGATCGCGCTCCGGACGAGGACGAGGATGGCGACTTTCAGAAGTCGAAGCAAAGCACCATCAACTTGGTTGGGATCGACTCGAAACGAATCTCGGATTTTGCAACCTTCAACTACATCTTTCTGGGATCCGCCATCAAGTTGATATTTGCCATCAGCTTCTTGTCAAAATTGATTGGACCCATCCCGTTGCTTGCTGGACTGGCGGCTCCTGCCCTGATCACGCCCATCAACATCATGGCCGCCAAGCGATATGCCGCTGCTCAAGACGACCTGATGAAATATCGTGACCAAAAGATGGCAGTGGTGACCGAAGCTCTGCAAGGCATCCGTCAAATCAAGTTCAGTGCCCTTGAGCGTGACTGGTACGAAAAGATTCTCGAAACCAGGAGGAGGGAACTGAAGACGCAGTGGCAAGTGTTTGTGTACGACACCACTCTGATCAGCATCTGGATTTTCGGGCCCGTCATGCTTGCAGCCGTTTCATTGACAACTTATGTTCTGATCTACAAGCAATTGACTGCGTCGGTGGCCTTCACGACCATTTCCGTCTTCGAAGCCATTGAAATGACCTTGGCTGTCATTCCAGAAATGATAACAGACCTCCTTGATGCTATAGTGTCTGCGAATCGGGTTCAGGAATACCTTGATGCGCCTGAACGGATCGACAGCACCAAGGCTGGTGATGCTGTGGTGTTCAAAGATGCTACGGTGTCTTGGCCGTCGGACAATCCTGAGAACGAAGAGAACCAGTTCACGTTGCGCAACTTGAACATTAGCTTTCCGAAGAACGAGTTAAGCGTCATCTCCGGCCGCACTGGGTCGGGGAAGAGCTTGCTCCTGGCCTCCATCATTGGCGAGGCTGAAATTCTTGGAGGCGAACTTGTCGTCCCCAAACCGCCGCTGGCCGCCCAGCGACACGACTCTGTGGCGAACAGGAGTAACTGGGTGATGGAGTCTTCCATTGCATTTGTTGCCCAAATTCCTTGGATCGAGAACGCTACTATTCGCGAAAATATCCTTTTCGGACTCCCTCTCGACAATGACCGGTACCAAAAGGTTCTGCATGCGTGCGCGCTGACGAAGGATCTGGAAATGTTGCCAGATGGAGAACTCACCGACATCGGTGCAAATGGAATCAATCTCAGCGGCGGCCAGAAATGGCGAGTTTCATTTGCTCGTGCCCTGTACTCCAGGGCAGGCATTCTTGTCTTGGACGACATCTTCTCCGCAGTCGACGCGCACGTTGGGCGACATCTGTTCGAGCAAGCCCTCGTAGGGGAACTTGGCCAAGGCAGAACAAGAATCCTGGTGACACACCACGTCGCCTTGTGTCTCCCAAAAACGAATTATAGCGTTCTGTTATCCAACGGCACCGTCGAACAGGCCGGCAAAACAGAGGAGCTGCGACGAAGTGGAAAACTAAAATCGATCCTGGCCGAAGACGAAGAAGAGGGAAAAAGGGAGGACGAAGAAGAAGCCATCGAGAATCTAACGGTGGATGACGGCGGCGGTCTCCAGAAAATGTTGACCAACCAGTCGCGCCGGTCGAGGCGGAAATCCGCTCTCAGTGATGTTGCCAACAATCTGATGCGTCGTCCATCCCGTGCCAGTCTGAATGACGCGAAGCAAAGCCGCAACCCGCCGAAGAAATTCACGGAGGAAGAGAAGCGCGAGACAGGCGCGATCAAGTACCGAATCTACGTAGCCTACATCAGGGCGTCTGGCGGCTTCGGTTATTGGTTGTTCATCCTGGCCATCTTTAGTCTTTGGGTCGCAGTTTACCTGGCCAGGTCGTATTGGATCAGTGTGTGGACGAGATCGTACCGCACGGAGTCGGAGCATATCTTCCCCCAGAGGCTGGTCCAGCAATCTCTGAGTAGCGTCTATCACCACCTCCACGCTCAGTATTCCGCCGCGGCCATCGACCCAAACCTTCGATATTACCTAGGAGTTTACCTTGGCATCTCCCTCGTCGCCTGGCTGATCGGTACGGTGCGCTACTTTTTCGTCTTCATGGCCTCAATTCGCGCCTCCAAAATACTCTTCGAAGGACTCGCCTTCGCCGTCCTCCGCGCGCCTTTACGCTGGCTCGACACTGTGCCTGTGGGACGCATCCTCAACCGCTTCACCTCCGACTTCAATATGCTCGATTCGCGCATAGCTATGGATTTGGCCTTTATGCTCCACAACATGATGCACGTTCTGTCAGTCGTGATTGCAGGAATATTCGTGTCGCCATTCATGATCGTCTTTGCGATCTGTCTGCTTTCAATTTCCATGTACTACGCCCTGCGATACCTCGCTGGGGCCCGGGAGGTGAAGAGACTAGAAAGCAACGCAAAGTCTCCCGTCTTTGAGCAATTCGGCTCGGTTCTCATGGGTATTGAGACCATCCGTGCATTCGACAAGTCTGACGCGTACCTCGACAAGATGTACGCCAAGATTGACCGACATTGTCGCGCGTACTGGCATCTCTGGCTGTTCAATCGGTGGATGGGATGGCGGCTGAACATGGTGGGTGCCATCTTCGCGGCCATCACCGCGGCCCTGATTGTCTCTATTACGAGCATTGACTCGAGTCTCGCTGGATTTGCCCTGAGTTTCGCGCTCGGATTGAGCGAAGGTGTGATCTGGTTCCTGCGACAGTACTCAAATGTGGAACTAGACATGAACGCCACCGAGAGAATTGTGGAATACAGTAACATCACGATTGAGAATCAAGGAGGCGTGGATGCACCGGCCGCGTGGCCCACCGAGGGAAATCTTGAGGTCGACGATTTGGTCGTGGGGTATGCGCCTGATCTCCCACCAGTGTTGAAGGGTTTGACCTTCAAGGTCACGAAGAACCAGCGCGTCGGCGTTGTTGGACGTACGGGCGCGGGCAAATCTTCACTGACGCTTGCATTGTTCCGATTTCTGGAGGCCCGCAGCGGGAGCATCTACATTGATGGAGTGGACATTTCCAAGATCAAGCTGTACGATTTGCGCTCGAGGCTGGCGATCATTCCGCAGGATCCCGTGCTGTTCTCCGGTACGGTTAGGAGCAACCTCGACCCATTCGAGCAGCAAACGGACAAGGAATTGAAGGAGGCGTTGGCGCGGGTGCATTTGATTTCGTCGACTACGGCCTCTCCGTCGGCTGTGGCCAGCGGAAGCGCGACACCCGTACCAGATCAGCGCGCCACAGACAGCTCACCAGATGCCGACGCAGCGGCGGCCGCAAACATCAACATCTTTCACAGCCTCTCCTCCAAGATCTCCGAGGGCGGGCTCAACCTCTCCCAAGGCCAACGACAGCTCCTCTGCCTGGCACGCGCCATCGTGTCCCGGCCCAAGATCATGGTCCTGGACGAAGCTACGTCGGCGGTGGATATGGAGACCGACGCCCTGATCCAGCGGAGTATCAGAGAGGAGTTCACGGACAGCACGCTGATCGTGATCGCGCATCGGCTGAGCACGATTGCGGACTTTGACAAGATCCTGGTCATGGGGGAAGGCAGGGTGCTCGAGTTTGATACTCCCAGAGAGTTGATGGGGAAGAAAGGAGGTGTCTTTAGGGGCATGGTGGAGAACAGTGGTGAGAGGGGCGAGTTGGAACGGATCATGGGCATAGGTGTCGGGGGTGATCCGGAAGGGCAGGAAGGGCCGGAACAAGAGCAACAAAAAGAACAAAAGCAGGAGCAAGAGCAACGGCAAGAGGAGGACCGTGAAGGCGAAGGGAGAGGGAGTGTCGGTGCCATTGACAGTGTGGACGCCACAGCCAGCGGTACGAGACAAGACGACGACAGTTCCGAGGCAGAGGGCGGTTGGGGAATCTGAATCTGAGTCGGAGCCTTGCGCCAAAACCAGAATCAGAACCAAAACAAGAAAGGATATTGCAGAGGAAAGGAAGCGTTCTCGGATAAGGTGTTGGTAATGGAAAAAAAAGGGTTTCCCTATTTTTCTCATTTTCAAATCATGTCACTGTCACACACAGAGACAGAGGCACCGGAGAGGAGGGGGAAGGGGGATGTGTGAGAGAGAAAGAAAGAAAGGTAGACGGGGAAATGGGGGGAGGGAGACATAGCATATTCGTGGCTGCACATGATATGGAGTACATACCAAGTAGATAGACATAGGTACGGATTGGTGGGTAATAAAAATATCAAATAGTAATGGTCATATTTGGTCGGGGAAATTTCAGTCTGAATTTTTTGTTCATAGGTGGTATTCTAACTTCGGATGAAGTCGCTAGCTTTTGTAGTACCTACATATAGTTTAATGATATGGACGTTCGATTTTAATATGGTAACATTAGGTCCATCCATCCTGCCAGCGATCCCAGCCAGCCCCAGCCCAGGCGTGGCCTTGGACAGGACCGGAGCGACGACGCGCCAGTACCTAGATAGTATAATAGTATTGCATAGTGCAGCCGAGGATGCCCAGTACAAATCCATGCAAGAACCTCGTATACTTTTGGGTACGGGGACACCAGCCTCGTCCTAGTAACCAATCATATCCGAGTTTGCCTGCCGGAGGTGGCGCCTTTCGAGGCCAAGCGTGAGGCTGAATGAGTATTTGGGCCCTTTTCGACCCTTTCTAACAAATCCACATAACCCTCGGGCTCTTCGTCACGTCGTCCCGGCAGTCTCGCTTTCGTAAAATTTCTAGAACCCCGGCAGCCATGGCTGAAGCAGTAGAACTCGCCGCCCGCGTATCGAGTCTGGCCCAGACGGCCTTCGCTGTGGCCAAAGGTCGGGTACAACCTCGCTGACGAGGTAGGCAGCGCCGGAGACGCCGTACGCATCTTTGCCCACGATTCCTGGCTGTTCGTCGAGACTATCAACACCCTTGGGGGTCTCCTTGAGGACTTGCCATCCGTGTCCCGACGTGCTCAATCTACCACGGAGGAACTTCCGATGTTGCCGTGGAGTAGGTTGTAGAGCCGTTTAGAAAACTGCTCGTCTAATTGGAGCCTCTTGTCACCAGATGGAGAGATAGCCCTAGTCGGATGAAGCAGCTACGCCTGCGTTGTTCAGTGGGCTTTCAGCTGCAAGACCAAGGTGCTTTTCTACCATGCCGCTCTCAACGCATTAAAGGGCAATGTATCCCTTCTGGTACAAGCCATGTCGCTGAATGGCCGAAACCCGCCTCACATTCACTTGTGAGTACGCGCTGATGCAGTTCCGGGGGATCGAATCTGCTCATGAGCAGCGGCATATTGTGCAGGTCGATCGAGGAAACCAAAATCGTACTGGAGACTGGTTCTCGCAATCAAGCTCCAAGGCAGCTGCTTTCCGCCAACGACGGAACCATGAATGGAAGAAACCGAGGGCAAGCATGGACATCGCAATCAGTTCTTCGGTGAGTTTCCAAATCGTTCAAAGGGCAGATCTCAGGACCGACGCGGGCCATCAACAGAATTGGCCGTTGTCGCCGTCACCAACGCCAGGATTCCAAATGACGAGGAAGAAGTTGTTGAGGAGCTCGCCAGAGTAAACTTTCTAGAACTTGATCCTCTCGACAGCACCACACAGAGCCAAGAAGAGCGCACAGACCAACGTCAAGGGTCTTGGGGCTATCCGCGCTGTGCAGAAAAAGATTCTCAAACTTGCCGACGAGGCAACGACTGCCACTGAATCGGCCCCCAACACGTAGGGCAACAACATCACGCTCTCGGGTATCAGCGTAGGGAGTGATGGAACCTCGAAGCACTCGGAGACTCCTGTGCGGCAGGAGGATCCAGATGTCAGTTCGCCACGGCAGCAGACTAACGGACGGCCTGCGCAACAGACCTGGGAGCTGGGAGTCGAATAAGGAGCACCGGGAAGTACAGAAAGTGTCGAAGTGATTCAATTCACCGACTCATTAGGATTACGGGCTGATATTCCATACGGCCTGGTTCGTACCTGGAAAGCAAGCGTATTCTCCCTGTCCTACCCAATATTTGCTAATCCCGCCATAGCCTATGCATGCCTTCATAGTGGCCGAGTATCGAGATCTCAGAGATGAGGGCGTGACGTATGGCAAGGCGTTTGCCATTAAGTCTGCCATATAGAGAGGCGAATTCACGGTCGCTTATGTCATGAAAAACTCTCCGGCCAAGATGATTCTTGCTTACAACTGGGATAGCTGTGTGAAGACTGGTTGGAAAGTCGGGCTTGAGCTGGATGATGAAGGACTCCAACCTCTTGAAAGAAACAGTAAGGTCAGAATTCCGTCCTCGAAAGTTGAACCGGTCAGCACAAACTGCAGCTGCCGAAGCCAGCCTCGGCGGACTTGAAACACAACTTCAAGGACCATCAGAATTGGTGAAGCAGAATCAGAAATTAAAGTTTGATAACAACGAACTCGCATCCAATGTGAATGTGGATTCCACCCCAAGTCCAAGCACTCAACAGGGGAGAATTCACGAAAGGAACGTTTCCGACATAAGGTCCGGAATTAGGCGTTCTAATATCACTGGCTTGGCCACCCATGTTGCGAATTATGTCTTCGCATAAGAGGTTCAGATGCGCGTAAGGTAACTGTAATTGTGAAAGCAAGAGCTAGTGCAAGAGGTTCAGAACATGGCACCGCTTAGATCAGTTGAACGAGAGGCGAGCAGCCTGGGTCGCGGCCACAGCAGTTGACACGGAGAGATACAAGTCGAAACTCATGATGGCACAGGGAATCAAAGATCGAAGCTGTGGCAACACGCCAGATACTCCTCGACAAGCGAAAGAGAACTCAGTCGGGGCATGAAAAAGTTTCGGGGGGGCGGGGGAGCAACTCATATGAAAGGGGGGTGAAAAGGTTGATGGCCACGCGAGTAGTGGGAGCCATGTCGAAAGAGGGAGGTGTTGTGAAAGGGGAGGCGTAGGGTCATGTTGAAGGGGGTATGAGTGCGGCTCGGTCAGAACGGGTCAATAGAGAAACATGTGTTCGAACAAGAAAGGCATAACGAAACAAAACAAGACTGCGCTAGATTCGGGACGCGGTGGAAGAAGAGGCATCAAGGAAGACGCACTGAAAGGGACGGCAGGTCGAATGAGGAATCCGTGACGAGAGGGGTAGCAGATAAGAAACGAGAGGAGAGATGCTGGTGTAACAGGCAAAGAGCAGATCGAACAAGAAGCCGTACAGGAGAGGAAACCGTGACGTCCGTAATGCGTATGAGGAAGTCGTGGTAGAAGACTAGGGAGAAGGACGTATCGAAACAGGAAAGTGTGTAGTAGTTTGGATGGAAGAGAAAGCCGTAGATTGCAATAAGGCAGGCGGAAAGAGTAAGGCATATACAAACGAGGACATCGGACATCCAAAGTCCAAGCGTATAGGAGGCTGTAGGGCGAGGCGACATGGTATAGCATGTTGAAAGAGGAAGGCGTCCAAGAGAGGTAAGCGTGTAGTCGCCCGACGCCAATCCAAACCCAGCCTCCACAATTGTGGTTTCGTCTCGTCCTTATTAGAGTGGTGATCTGTCCGAGCGCGCTAAGAATCTCCACCGATTCTTCGGTTCACAGAAATCTGCATTTAATAGAAAGCCAACGGTAAGTCGTGGACTTGTCCAGCCAGGAGCCTTGCCTCCATGTGATCCAGCGCGACGAGGCTCGCCAGTCATGTGACTGCTTTTGTGAGTACACAATTCTGGAGGCTCTCAGCAAAGAAACCGGAACCTGAAGCGCGACGAGCCGCGCCTTCCGGTGTCAGTGGGCTTAGAAAGCAGGCGAGCGATCCTCGCTTACATACTTTGCTGTCAAACGCGTCGTCTCTATTCCTGAGCTAGTTGGTCGACAGCAGAGAGACTCCTCAAACGATTCCTTGTCGGTGGCTCGAGGGAGGGTCCAGGCACTGCTCGTCGGCTAGCGTAGTAGAAGGGCTGTGTACTTGGTATAAAGCACGACGCTGAAACAATTAATCCCAGCCTTCATTTGCGCGGGCCTTGTGGGATCTCTCGTCTCCCAGCTGAAGACAACACTCCACGGCACACTCTGCATTTCTGGATCGCCTTGCAGTGCCATCGTACGTTGTGTACGCCGGTCGCTATGCTGGCAATGACATCTTGCGGATGGGGAATCAAATGGAAGTTGCTGGTCCCAACAACGGAAAGCCGCAGTGAGCTATGATCCGATCTGCTCAGCCTTCTAAGTCCACAAGTCAGATCACTGATCCTGGGCATAAATGAGGCTATAATTCATCCTTACTTGTCAGGCTGTCATGCCTTTTGATATGTTTGGTTGCCGAGCCCTCGAAGAAGCCCTCCAGCTCCATATACTCAGCCGCAAACACCGTAGTAAGGAGAGCCCAGTCTTCAACAGTAGGGATGTCTAAATGCTCGCCATCGTCGCGCATAGTGTGCCAGACGGAAGGAAAGCGCGCAGGGATGAGATGCAAAACATGGACACCTCTGGCAATAAAAGGGATATGATCGTCTTGCATGACATAGCTGCTGAATCTATCAGTCTCCTTTTTGTCCTTTTCGGGTAGCCAGGTGCGCGACGGGTTGCTTCTGAACATGCCCAATTTGCGGAGTCGTTGTTCGGCTTCGGCCATCTTCACATATGACCAATGGGAGCTGTGTTGCCACGAAGGGATCGGAAGGTCTTCTGCGGAGCCGAGAAGATCGAGCAAGACAAACAATTCGATGGAGTCGAGGTAGTTTTTGTAGATACTGGTGGCCGGATGGACCGTGTGCTCCCACTCTTCAGCAAGTGATCTGGCACCGTAAATACTGTCGGTTGCTGTCCAGCTCAAAAAAGCCTCCTCGCCATCGAGAAACAGTACCTGTATTCCCTTTTGCTCCTCAAAGTCAGGATCAATGAACCCTTGCTCTTGCATCGTGTCCCATTTATTTGTCAGCGCAGCGTCTATGGATCTGATGGCATGCATGATCATTGCACATGGTGCTGCAGAGTCCGTCGCACCAATGAATCCATCCGGCTGGTACTTGGAATCATAATGCGCTACCAAGGTCAAGCGTCCGACATCGCCGGGCTGTGTCCATGGAGGATCTCGAGAGGCAATAAGATTCACAAACGGCACTTCAGTATCGCCGTGAGTGGGCGTCTTTGAGGTTGAGTTCTGGAAAGACAATGTCCAGTCTGGCAAGAAAGCGTGGAAGAAATCAACAAAGTGCTGGAGGACCTTCTTAGAGCCCTCTGTTCCGGGGACTCGAGGGATCAAAATCGGAGCTAGAAGGTTGCCGCTGTGTATATCGAAATCGCTGGTGTCTGGCCGGGGGAGAACATGTTGAAGGGTTTCGTCGGAGAGTGGCACGTATGCCAGCCCTCCTGACCAGAGAGATATCAGTGAGATCACAATCGAGCACCAAGTGGGCAGCCAGCACCGCATTTTCAAAGGAAAGAGAGAAGGGGCGCGTTCATTTAGACATTTCCAGGGCCTTGTGAATGCATTGTGAAGGAATCTACTCTATTGCCAGAAGAGAGAAAGGCCAGTGACTTGTTGAGGCTTGTCGTCTTTCTGACCTCGGCGCAGTTTCCGTCGCAGGACGCGATTCAAATCTCCAACTTCAATGCTCCATTGCAATCGCGCCTTTCAAATTCTAGGCACGAAAGCTATCGACAGCAGTTCAACGCAACCCAGCCAGATGAGGAACCTGCCGCCGGCTCTGGTGGCCGAAATCCGTTATGCCTTTCAGTGTTGCTCCCGGCAGTGCGCTGCCTCAAGAAGGGCTCGATTCAGCACCTTGCAACCACGACTAAAGAGCTCTCGGCCACGAAAGGACGACTGTATCCCCATTCAAGTCGTCCATAGCCAGTTGCAGGCCCAGAAAATCAACCAGGCTCAGCCCTCAATACCTCCAGCTCCGCATACACCTGAAGGCAAGGAACTTATACCACAGGAAGAGCAGGCAAAATCTCTCGACACCGGCCGCAAGGTTGAGGTTCCTTTCAAGGTCATTCCAAAGGCTGAGGTCGCCCCGAATCTGACCCTGTCTCCGAAAGAACGGCTCCATATCGAGCAATTAACAAGGAGACTGCCTCCTCGCCCTGAACCAAAGGGTGCGTCCCTCAACACAACATTCAAAAGCTACACAACCACTAAACAAGACACAGTGTATAAGAGGAGACTTCGCATATACACCGCGGGAAATGGCAGGATATATATGCTCACCCTCCTTCGCTTCACGACGATTGCTGCCTTGGGTTTTGTCACCGTTATTGTGGCCCCGGCACATTGGGTGAATGGGAGTTCGTTGTGGACTGTTGCTGGCAGTGAGTGCTCCCTTGTCGCGCAGAGATAGCCAGCTGATCCCGAGTTCTGCAGTATGGCTAGCAGGCTTGGTCCCGTTCATCTTTGTAAACTGGACTTTGAGACCAATGGTGACAGAAATATTCCTTCGGCTTCCAGCATCGGCTCAAACATCCCCAAAGGTAGCCATGGCTTATGCTAAAAGTCTTCCGGCAGATGCCACCCTCGACCTGAGATTTATGCGATCCTTCACCATCACTGACATGGTATCATTGAAGATCGCTAACACGAAACCTATCAAAAGCCTCTTCCGGCCCGTCAGTTTTGAATGGGTTGGGCCACTGGTGGAACGGGGAGGCTTGCTGAGACCGAACCCGACTCAGTTCTATGTACGACCTGAATCGGCGGGCGGCAGAGCAGCAAGGGATGTGATTCCGGGGATCTGGAGTAAGGTTTACGAACGACTTACTGGAGTTGAAAGCAACGTCGTATCCAAATGGCGGCGATGATCGAACTCGTGACCGTCCTTGATATACCAACTCACTTCACGTCCCAGCCTTAATGAAGGTGAATGTCAGGCAGAATTTGCGCTCCGGTCTTCACTCGCAAAGTGATCTCTCGCCAAGTGAGGCCATCATTCGCGTGTTTCCCTCTCTTAGATCTCACTGCCTTCATCGCTCTCCAACTTCCACCATCTCTCTCTACCTTCATCTGAAACCCATCGTCCCTTGCCACTACAAGTGAACCGCCATAGTGACCACCATCTCTCTGCACCAGCACCCCTTCGTCATGTCTGACTCTTCAGCGACCAAAACTTCTGTCGGTCTTACCGCCCGTGAGTTGGAAATTGTGATCGCCGCTCTTCATTGTGTCAAAGGTGGTGACATCCAAGTAAGTCTTGCAGAACTTGTCATTCGTGACAGTCAACCTACCCATCTGCTTTCGTCGCCCGGGCCTTTCGTTTCTGCTGACTGGCTGGCTCCTCTTTCAGATCGACTATGCCGCTCTCATGAATAGGCTTGGTTTCAAAACCGAGGCATCGGCCAGATCGGCTTGGTGTGGAGCCAAGAGAAAGCTCGTCGGCGATGCTGCTAAGGCGTCAACTCCTGATGAACAGGGAACTAGCGGAAAGTCAAAGACACCTCGCAAACCAAAAGACTCGAACACAACCGCTACACCAAAGTCAGGCAAGAAAGCTATCACGGCCGAAGCCGCCGGCAAGGACGCCGGCAACGATTCTTGCGATGGCGAGAACAACATTCCCGCAACCGCAGTTGAGGAGACGGAAGTGAACACATCGGAAGGTCAGTTTGAGCAATCCCTGAAAACGTATATGTGTTTGACCCACACTCTCTCTTCCTCCTTCCATCGCCTTACGACGCTTTCGTGTGCTGACACCGTTGCTCACCCAGATCCACCGCCAGCTACGCCAAAGACAACTGCGTCGACGCCCAAGAAACGTGGCCGCAAGACCAAAGCCGAAAAGGAAGCTGAGGCTGCCGCTGGTGAAGGCGGCGAGGAAGAAGAGAAGCCGGCCAAGAAGCGCAGAACTCCCGCCAAAAAGAAGGCTCCCGCGAGTGAGAATAACGGCGGGAACGAAGATGAGACCCCGGCGACGCCTGTCAAGGGGAAGAAGACTGTCACTCCGCGCAAGAAAGCTGCCGCCACTGCGACCAACAAAGCCCCTGCAAATGACGCTCCCCTTGCCGTACCAGCCATCAACGTGAAGGAAGAGGAAGAAGGGGATGTTTCCGCAGAAGAAAATACGGCCCTCGCCACATCTTCCACCGAGTATGTTCTTCCTTTCCTTTTCCCAAGCCCTTCTTCTCCTCGCCATTTGCCATACTAACATCCCTCCCAAGTAGAACTGCCAACAACCCTGTCAAAGGTGTGACTAATGCTGCTGCTGCTGCTGTTAACGGAAGTGTCTGTGACCCTGTGATAAACGCCGCCGCGGAAGCCATTGCAGCTGGAGCCACCGGGGCCCTTGCTGCCGCCGACACTGTTGGTGATGACTGAAAGTGCACCCATCATCCCCCCTCTGTGGCAATCAATCAATCAATCAGGTAGAAATGAGCCAATAAAAGAGTTGAGCTTGAGCCCTTTTTATCTGCTATGAAGCTACGTGAAAAGGGGAGACGAGAGGAAAAGTGACACAAGCATGGATGACTGCCTATTCACACGCGAGTTGCGCGGGTCGTGCAAAGCCCAGAGAAGGGGAAAGGGGAAAGGAAACGAAAGGACTTGCTGATTGATTGATAGCTGGTGTCGGGTCGAGGTCTCGGAAATTGTGCTCGGCGCTGCACATTGTAGACTGCCTGAGTCCTTGGCCTCGACTTTTTCCACAGGAGGTGGATCACGCGTTTCAGGACAGAGTAATCGCAACTCAACTGCATTGAACAGACAGAGAGGCTTGCCTAGCACTGGAGACACATCCACGCGTGACGCTGGGCCATCAATCACAATGTGCACTTGAAAATGCAGATGGAATCTCACGGACTCATAATTCATGAGGGGTATTTACTATTTCCTTGACTTTTGCGTTGATATTGCTGTCTGCGAAGTCGACCGTGTAACGAACGGGTTTCTTGACTTCTCTAACCTTTTGCCCCCTTCGAGTCTTGGATATTATTCGCTCAGTCAGTCAGTCAGTCACTATGCGGTATTCCGTACGAAGGAGTCTACCTGTATAATGCTATTGTAACAAGCACGCCAACGTGCTCACAGAATACCTTCTCCTACCATTTACATTGCCTGTAAAATCAGCAAAATCTTCAAAAGGCACATCTCTTTTCGCTTCTTTTTCGCTTTGAGCATCTAAAACTCCGTACATCGAGACTCCCGGACACTGTACCCCATACATAGCAAACCACGCCAACACCTCCAGTATAATAAACAGCGGCGGGAAAAGTACAAATGGGACAGACAATCTGGCACGCTCATTGCATGGATCTGTGCTCACAAAGCCTCAATGCACTTCACCAGCACGTCCAGTCCGCGATCTTCCACCTCTTCTCCCTTCAGGATCCATGCAAGATCACTCAGGATCCCCAAAGGCACTTCTTTCTCCTCGTCCTTCTCACTCACCTCCTTAACCTGATCCCCGCTATCATGCACACTCTTCACCCTCTGCTTTCGCGCCATAAGGTTCGAAATTTCCCATTCCTTCGCTGCCTCCTCCGCTCGTTCAATGACTTGGTGTGAAATCCCACACATGCTGGCGCAATGCATACCGAATGACCCCTTAGCGGTGCCCTCCTCCAACTTGTAAAGGAAAGTTACCCGTCGATCAGCATCGTCCACAAGAATCTTCATCCTCTTCGGCGCTATTTCTGGGTGATGCGCAAATTCAGAAGAGAGTGAATGGTAATGCGTTGCAAAGAAACCCAAGCAGCCCACGTGGGTAGCTAGGTGATGTAACACAGCCTGTGCGACTGCCACGCCGTCATGTGAAGATGTACCTCTCCCCAGCTCGTCCAGGATGACAAGACTGCGCGGTGTAGCCTCGCTAAGGATTTTCTTTGTTTCTGCCAATTCGACGAAGAACGTTGACTGCGCGGCAAAAATGTGATCTTGAGCTCCTAGGCGGGACATGATTCGGTCAAATGGTGTGAGGCGAGCTGACGCGCAGGGGAGGTAGCAGCCGATTTGAGCCATGATGACAGCGATACAAGTCATTCGTAGGACAGTGGATTTTCCAGCTGCGTTCGCGCCTGTCAAGAGGGTGAGGTTGGGAGAGCTCCCTCCCAGAACGACGTCGTTGGGAATGAAGTCGTCGACTTTGCTCAGGAGGCAGGGATGGCGTAGATCGACGAGCTCCAAGATTGAGCGACCGCCAGCATTGTCATCAGACGGGTCGACGAATTCGGGACGACAACTCGGGTGTCCCAAAGACGTACTCGCTTTGGCAAGAGATATCAAGCAGTCTAGCTGCGCGATGATCTTGACCGCCGCGAGCCATATGTCGTAGTTTTCGTCAAACTTGGCGTAGAGTTTGCGGGATACATCCTTGACAATTTGGGAGTGTGTCTCTTGCGCTTCCTGCAGATTCCGCACAAGGGTTCGTAGTTCGGGGAAGTAGTACCTTTTCACACTCGCGGTGGCAGACATTTGGTCCCAAGCCGCGGGCACCTTGATGCGATTGGGCACTTCCATTTGCATTATCTCCTTGCCGTTGTCGCGGTAGCAGATGGCATTGGAGTTCAGCTCTTTGCGCCATTTGCGCAGAAGATCGTCAAATTTCTTGTTGATGGCATCGATGGTATCCTGAGAATCGTCAAAGTCTTGTTCGATTCCGCGCTCGGGGACCAAGATGCCCGACTCTTTAGCCTTTTTGCGGTCAAAGGCATCGTGCCAATATCTGAGACGAGGCTCGAGATCCGGCATGGCCGAGATGAGTTGGCCGATGACACCCTCGCTGTCCCGTTTTTGGTCTGTACCATCTCGCAACAGTGACATGGTATGGTCAATCTGTTCGAATCCTTCGAGCACCTTGACAAAGTCTTGGACTTTGCAAGTCCCAGCGTGGACGCGAGATATCAATCTCTCGAGATCCGGCATCTTTGTCATTTGCGAGGTGAAACGGTCGCGGACTTTTGCATCAGCGTTGAGCGAGTCGACGGCATCCAGCCGCGCGTTAATCTTCTTCGTGTCTACGAGAGGGTGGCAGACCCATTGTTTGAACAAGCGCTTGCCGAATGGCGTGATGCAGCGGTTGAGCAGCTGGAAGAGCGTTCCTTCACTTCCGCCGTCATAGGAATTGGCAAAGACTTCGAGGTTGATCAAGGTCTGACCATCAAGGACCAGGCTTGTCGCTTTGCGGATGGGATCGTACCATGCGAAGTTGCCTATTGTCAAGAGATCCCGCTCGATCTTCAAGGACCTCAGATACTGTATAAGAGCACCGAGAGCAGACATGAGGAGGTCTTTTTCTTTCACCTGTTGCAGTCCTTCAGGCCACTCGGTGGGGAAGTAGTTCTCTGCTTCAATCTCCTTAACAGTGATATGGCCTTCCCAGAATTCTTTACCGGGTTTCAAGTAGTTCCAGATGGTTGTCGGGCTGGTGTTGTTCTTGAGTATGCGCAATGTCTTCACCGAGACACCACCCTTTTCCAGCAGAATCTCTCGGGGTCTTGTCTGAGCAACGAGCGTCTCAAACCTGGTCAGATCTGCATCATCGACGAAGTCGGATACGTTGAATTGACCCGTGGCAGTGTCGACAAATGCCACACCGAATGCAGGCATGTCGTCGACCTCGGATTCCTTGATCGCTACGCAATATGTCGACATATCGTCCTGGAGCATTGTCCCATCAACCAATGTGCCCGCGGTAAGAACGCAGGCCAGCTCTCTCCTGATCACTTTGTCGTCTTTGCTCTTCTTGCTGGCAAAGCCACTCGATTTTTCATCCCGCTCACGCATGTCTTTACCAAGGGCAGTCTCTTGCTGGTCAACTCGAGCAATCTTGAACCCTTTTGCGACGAATTGATTTGCCCACATTTCCAGACTCGACTCTGGAACACCCACCATTCGCATGTTTACGCGGTCGGTCAATTTCAAATCAAACAATTGATGGCCAATGGTCGCGTCGTTCTCGTACAATTCATAGAATTTGCCTTTCTTGAAGAATACAATCGTGTCCCAGAACTTCTGCTTTATTTCCCAGTATTGCTTCTCAAACGGAGAAAACTTACTCCAGGCCATAGGTGGAATGTACAAGGTCCGTGGATCGTAATCTGGGTGGCCAGGTGGATTTCGGTCCATATCTCTAATGTCTTCGAGCCAAGCGTGCCGGTGTTCGGGTTCGGTCATATGGGCTTTCTGCTTCTTTCCGCTCGGCTGTTTAGGAGGGATGTTGGTCGGGCGCGGTTGCAAAGGTTGAGGATTTTCTGGGTCATACGTCCACTGCTGAGCAGTCGAAGTGCCTTCCGGAATTTCCAGGTCGAATCTGATATCAACTTCATCCGTTGCAGGAGTGAAATGAGACGACGCAGCTCGGGAAGTGCTTTTGGATGCCCGTTTGCGCTTCGCAGGCCGGCGTACCTCATCTTCGGAGTCGTCGGGAACGATGAAGTCGTCCATGTCTGCCCTGTTAGCACCAAATCCGTCTAGTTGGAACAGGGCATGTACCATCTTCCGGCTCCTCGGCCATCTCCTGTTCGTAGACATCCTCGTCCGCACTATCGGAGATTCGTCTGCGTTTTGTAGGTCGAGACCGGCGTCCAGGAGTCGGTTTGAAGACATCGTCACCGTCGGTGCCTTCGCTGTCCGACTCAAGATAGTTGATCTTCTTGGTTTTGGCCTGTTACCTCAATGGTTGGTACAGCGCAGTCACAAACGCGTAGAGGGTCTTACCCTTCGAGAAGGCGTCCCGCGACATGTCGGCTCCTCCCTGCCATTGGTCTGCTCATCGTCAGCTGAGACTGGCGATGGCAGACTTTTGGAAGGAGGCAGACTCGCCTTGGGGGTGTTGTCCTCATCTTCAGGTTCCAATGCGTCACTGCTGGGTACAGGCGTCAGGGTACTTGACGCCTTTCCGGCCGGTTTGGAGCGAGTTTTTGATGGAACAGGTGTCTCAGCTACCGGTCGAGCAGGTAACGCAGCGGGCGAACCAGTCGAGGGCGTCTTCTGGAAGAAGCCCAAGAGAGTCTTCTGTCCGCTTCCAGAAGTGGATTTCTTCAATGCAGGGGTGGAGGCAGGCGTTGAGGCAGTCTTCTTCGGCATGACTATGAGGCGCCGAGACCCGTGAGGCCTCTTTCAGAACAAAAAGATACCGTTAGTTGCTGAATGAGTTGATTGAATTGCAAGGAACCCAGAAATATTGGAGTGATGCAACCGCGTGGAGAGGTACCAAATCGCTAGCGCGTCGAGTCTCGACGCGTAAAGTACTAGGGACCCCCTTGGGACCCCTCGCTTGCCAGTCTTGTCCTTAGTACGGAGTATGTGAAGTGGCTCCAGGAGTTGATTATTGGCATTGACTTTACTCGGTACAGGCTGTCTTGATGCAAGGGTTTTCTGTTGTTACAACTAAGGTCACAATGCTTTGCAAACCACTATCTCATCTTCCCCGCCTTGTCAGTTTCCCGTGGTCAAGTCGGGAGTTTCCTTGCTCTGCAGCAGTGCCTCCCACCCAGGGCATGTCAATCCAAGCTTCGCATATTCCTCGTCTGGAACAATATTGACAATCTTGATCCTCCATTTGCCCGTGCGAAGGATGAGCAGATTGTCATCGATGATCCATTTTTGCACCTCTTTCCAGTCTGATGTCTTGACAGGTGTGAAGCTCAGGCTGTCATCCATTTCAGCTTTCGCGTCGGATGCCCCCCCTACGTACGCTCCTCCAGCATTGATAAGGCGCTGGCCCTCTGTTTTTGACGTTACCATGGCTGCCGACCAGAGAATATTGCTCATAGGTTTCTGGAAGACCAGGCTCCGTGGGAGTTTGATGTGGGTGGACATGTTGTCTTCCCGTCGCAAGGGTTGGGCATGCTTGTTTAACGAAGGGTGCGCAAACAATGGTATTCCAGAGGAATGTGTTTCGGGCGTTGTGGTCTCTGCTAAGCCTGCTTTCATGTCGCTGAGACTAATGTTTTTCCTGAAAAGTTGACGGTGTTCACTTTCGGCCTTTTCGGCAGCATGTACCCCATAGATGAGCTCGACAAACTCTTTTGCGAGCTTATGTTGCGCCACCCGTTTTGATTGATCTTTTTCATGTTCTTTCATGATGTCCCTAATTTCGGACAAGGGCAAGAAGGTCAACAACTTCAGGTACTTTTCAACATCCGAGTCTGAGGACCGCAGAAAGAACTTTGACTCCCGTCAGCTTTGCCGGGTTCCGCACGGGGTATAATCGCATACCTGATATAGATCGAAGACGCTGGTCATTTCCGGATTGAGCCAGACGGCATTACCGGCGCTCTTTCCGAATTTTTCTCCAGAGGCCGTGGTCAGGAGAGGCACAGTAAACCCCATGGGATCAGAATTAAGCTCGATACCGCGGTTTGAGTCGAGAAGCTGTGTCTGCCGCAAGGCAACCTGGTACTCGTGAGACTCTCTGGCAATTTGCTTCACAGCTTCGGCGCCCGCAAGAATATTTCCAAACTGGTCGGCACCGCCAACTTGCAGCTGGCAGCCGGATTGAAATAGGTGCCACCAGTCCCATGCCTGGACCAGCGGATAGCTGAACTCAGCAAAGGACATTCCATCCCCATGTTCCAGTCGGTTTTTCACCCTGAAAGCCGTGGTCAGTGTCCAAGGGAACGGGCGAAGGGTTCAGTAGAAATGTGTGCTCACGTGTCTCGACCCAGCATCGGACCTATACGTATGTTTCGGCCGAGGATGGACAGGAACTCTCTTGCCGTGACTTTAGACCACCATGTTACGTTGTTCTCGAGAGATCTGCGCCAGGCCCATTCCCGCGTGTATCCCCTTCGCGCGGCGTATGCTTCAATTGAAGCGCCCAACCTTTTCAATTGGATATGCATCCCTGCCATGTTGGCTTTCCTCTGTGAGGGAGACATGGTTTCTCTGCCCTTTAGACGGCCGGTAGGATCGCCAATGCTAGCCGTAAACCCCCCTAACTGATGCAAGTCAGCGAGAATTTCGCGAGCCGGATGCTATTGCTTACGATAAAATTGGCCTTGTAGCCGTGGATGTAGAACCAACCTAAGACCATGAAAGGGACCATGTGACCAACATGCAAAGAAGGGGCGGTAGGGTCTATGCCTGCATACACTCCGACTCGTCGGTGTGTGAGTAGCTTGTCCAAATCTTCCCTTGTGCTATCGGTTTGTCAACGACAGGCCTTTGATGCTGCCTGGGAAGATTCTTACCCAACAATTTGGTTGACGTATCCCCGCTCTTCAAGTATGGTGAGCATCGATTTCATATTGCCTTTTTCGATTTCTCGGGCTTTTGCACGCCATTCTTCTTCCGCCTCTTGGATTCTTCGCACATGAACTTGGGTGATCCATCTTTGACGAGACGATGGGAGTGAAGGGGCATTCCGCTGACGGAGATGACGGCGACAGGTTTGGCAGATATAGAGGGAGCGACCAGCTGTGCGAAGAGGGGTTGTGGTCTTCATGAGGCTCTGTGCCCATGCAGTGTTGGAATATGGGCGCAATAAATTGAGCATGACTGCGCAAAAAAAGTGACCATGCGAGTCATGCTTCAGGGACGCGGCGAGGCGGCGAGCGGCTTCGGCACAGAGGCTGCCGACATGAGCCAAGACCAGCCAACATCCCACAGTGCAGCCGCCCGCCAGACTCTCCACCAGCAATCATCTTTTACTATTTTGCTTCCTGATCGAGTAGTCTTGATACATGCCGTATTTGCACCACTCCACCTCGCCAACAGATCAAGTTCCCAGCTAGGCGTCAAGGATAATGTATGCTGACTAGGTAGGTGGGCGACCCTCATCCTATGCCCTTTCATGAGCAGTTCTGCGAGACATGGCAAAAGACAAATGGAACGAAAACGTGAACTGATCTCACCAGGTAAGTATTGGGCGAGACGCTGGTGCATCTACAAGCGAAATGGTCACCAACAATTGTCTATTCGTGGGCAGACTGACCGGATTCATCGTGGACGAGCAAGTCGGTGTTATCCATCCGAATGACTTGTTTTTGGCTATCGCCATCTTCGCTCTCACGAAACACCAATTTGCCGCAACTACCGTTCTGCACAGTCTCGACCTGATGCCGCTCTCATACTCATTGAATCCTTCGTCGACCCCCATTGCCTTCGGGAAACAGCCATCTGCAGGCTGGTGAGGGCTCCCTTGTTCCCCCCGCCTCCGCCATTTTGCTGCCCCAAACGGCACGTCTGTCCTCTCCACAAGCCACACCGACTTAATAACTGCGTTCGTCAACACATCCCTTTCCTTTTCTCCTACCGGAACAGGTTAACCAGCTTACCAGCCCGCCAGCTACTTGCCCGGGAGCGGCGAAGATCATTGCTTGTTAATAACGTAATAGCTTTGGTTCCTTCCACGATCCCCATGCAACGCATCCCAACGGTTCGGATCCTTCCACGCTTGACGCGCATCATGGTGTTTAGACCTCGAATCCGCTGCTCTCCTGCTGATCCTAGCTCACAACTACCCGGAATCTTGGATTAACGACGCGTCTTGTTCCCGGCGAGGTCCAGCCTATGTGGTTCCCAAAACCCGTCGCCGTCTGAAAGAACCTCCGGCGGAGATTCAGCCGATATGTTAGGCGTCCTCCCCACTGATGCTCAACTCAAGTTTCTTCTCCTTCAGATAGACACGTTGTACGCTCTGTGATGAGTTGACGCTGGCGAATATCATCACTGCATTTTGAACAGACGTCGCTCCTTACTGCCGCCAATACCCCCGCCATGCTAATACCCTGCTACGTCAAATACAACAGCATCCTCCAGCGTGATGACGGACAGTTACTATACAGGCAAATTTGACACTACTACTATCATCGTCACTATCACCTCGGCGCTGTCTCTGTACAATGCATTAGAGCTCATTCTGCTGATCTTCACAACTTTCGCCGTCTACCGCGGCCTCTACTTCTGGTCGCTATTGGTAGCAACAACGGGACTGGTCCCTTACATTGTCGGGTTGATATTGCTCTACTTCCGGGTGACCGCCAGTGTCGTCGGTCTAGTCATCAACAGTAAGTTCTCCAACTGTCTAAACCGGAAGCCTGTTTTGTCTCCTGTCAACTCCGTCCTGCTCAGCACTAGCTAAACCGATTTGCAGACTATGGCTGGTGGACGGCCATCACAGGCCAGAGTGTGGTACTATACTCACGACTGGGAATTGTGCTGGGAAAAGGCAACGACCGGATCCTGAAGTACGTCAAATGGATGATCATCATTGACGCCATTTGCTTCCATACTACAACAACTGTGGTCGTCTTTGGATCTTATTATACCTCGCCACCTGCTCAGGCACCCTTCTCTCGCGCCTACACCTACGTGGAAAAGATCCAGATGACGGGCTTCTGCCTTCAGGAATTCATCATCTCCGGGATCTACCTATGGAAGACGATGGATATAGTCAAGGCTCAAACCCAGTCCGCCACCTCCTCCATAAACACGTCTGAGCAGAAGAAAAAGAGGCGTGTCCATCGAGTGATGACCCAGCTATTCGTCATAAACATCGTTATAATCTGCTTGGACATCGCTCTGCTGGTCATTGAGTACAAGAACCTACACATTCCTGAGATTGCATTCAAAGGATTCTGCTACTCGGTAAAGCTGAAACTCGAGTTCGCAGTTCTCAGCAAACTGGTAGAGGTCGCAGGCCTCAAGAACCCGAGGACGCTGAGCCTGAGCAATCCTTTCGATCTCACTTCCAATGACAGGACCGACAGCCTTCCTACCGTGAACGGTAACGCGGACTTCGTTGACCAAAGTTACAGATCGTCCAACTCTAAGCTAAGAGGCTTGTCTGCAGCCGACAGTACGTCGCCACCAGAGTGGATGGACGAGCTCAAGAAGAGCTCCTCTCGGCACGTTGATGACGTGGAGATCGATGCTGAGAAGGGCCGACAACAGAGCTCATCGTCGTTTGACGCGATTGAACGAGGACGGAGCAATATCTCTGCACTTGTCCCCGGCAATGTATCGGAATGTCCTCATCATCGGCGCGTAAGGAGAGAATCTGAACTTCTCTATGCAGATGCCGTCCGGGAAATGGCACGGAAAGGCTAGACGAGTAAGATCACGGATCTAGTTCGACCCCCTGTCTCTCTTACTGGAGCATCCTGGAAGACAGAGCGTTAGCTGTTTATCCCTGCCGATCGGATTCATGGAATCAAAGAATCTACGGTCTCTCAGCGCTCCATGGTCGTGGTTTGAACTGTAGAAGGAATTATTCAAAGCCGTCATCAGCTCTGGGCCGGTAAAGCCCAGCGGGATCCAAAATTACGGTCGGAAGGACCTTCTGCTGTGAGCGAGCCTCGGCTTGTCTAGTTCTTTGGACGGAATTGATCAGATTGCGATAGGGAAAAAGTCTTCAGTGGATGAACCGCACAGTCCATTTCCATCTTCAGACACTCCCTTGCTTCCGAGTCGTCACCGAACTTCGAAAAGGGCCAAGAGCGAGATATCAGGTTCTCACAACGACGGCTCATTGGACACATCCAAATCACACCGAGAGCATAGTGCAAGACATGGTGGTTTTCCGGCAAGCTCGCGCCCAACCCGGTCTGTAAGTGCGATTCCACTACTGCTATCAAAAGGGAGAGCAGCTTCCAAGGATCCCCGCGCGCTGACATTTGCATCCTTTTAGCTTCTTAACTGACAGCCCGTCCGTGACACCCGACAGTTGGACGACGATGCATAAAAAACGGCCGTAGGATAAAACGGGAGCACCAGGCCTCCGCAACTCGAGCTGCACGTCGAGTGACAGTCATCACAGCATCCACGTCCGGGACAGGCCCGCAACTTGCCTGTGAGGAACACGTACATGCCCGGGGTTTACATAATAACATACATACCCCAGCAGCAAAGCTCGAATACATCTATAACCTACATTTTCAAACACCGCTCCTATTGGGTGCCTTATTTTATGGAACCCTCGGTGAGCGTTTCTATGTCGCTATTGTATATATCTGAGCCAGTGAGTGAGACCGGGAGAAAAAAAAAAGTGCCGACCATGCTACAGAGCGGTCCTTCTGGCGGGCGTCGAGTTCGAGGTCGAATCCGCATATGTTCCACGCCTGTCCTTCCTTTGGGTCTCTTCGATCTCCGTACGCTTGACTCAAAGAGGCCGCGACAATTCCTTAGGCGATACGATCCCAGATCCTGGATCGCAGAATTGTCTTGTTACCGTATCAAGGTAGCATGCCCATTTCCGTGGTAGTGGGCCATTCAGGCAGGTCGGCACTCCAATTCTGAGCCAGCTCGTGCCCGTAGAGAAAGCGATCCCAATCCAAATTCGTCTCTGGCATGGAGAATTGGAGCGCTGTGTCGGCGTCAAGACCGCCACTGGCATCGGCGTCGAGATTGGCTTCGCGGTCCCAGTTGGAAGATGGTAAGCACACGGGTTCGACTATTTGTCCGGGACGATCCGTTATAGTTCGTCCCTCGACAGGTTGCTCAGATGTCCTCGGACATGCCATCTCTTCTCCTGCACTGAATCCCCGAATCGCACTACTTTGCGGCATTACCCTGGCCTTGGCCTTGGCGATGTCGCGCACATGATGCCGTGGCGGCCTCAACTCGAGATGAATTGCCCCAAAGTACGGGAGGACAACGATCCGGCGCTTGACCTGCTCGGCTCGATCGGGCAAGCCGCCATCGACGTCTTCGTCTTCGTACAAGAAGGAGCCGAGCTCCTCCAGCACTCTCAGGCCCTGTCTGCTGATGCTGCCGCCCTGCTCTGTGGCACGGTACCGGAAGATATCCTTGATGTCCTCGATGAGAGCGAGGTCCTCGCCGACGTTTCCTCCTATGGCCCCCTCGCATTCCTCGGGCTCGGGCGGCGTCCGCGAACAATATGACATGCGCATCAGCAAGCCTACCATGAGTATACACGCACTGAAGACCCCTTGAAAGTCCTCGCAGCTGCAGATGTAGACTGCGAGCGAAGGGTCTGAGCGGAGCAGGTTGAAGACTCGGATCATGCCGCGACAACCCTGGAGACAGAGGTATTTATTCACTTCGTACGGGTCTGTGGTTGTATTGTTGCCGTTCTGGATGTGGTCGTGGTCGTGGTGATTCTGGCTCCGGGCTGTGGCAGCACCGATAGCGGAGGAGTGGAGTTTTAGCATAAAGGGTAGATGGAGGAAGGACTGGACCTGCCAGAACCACATTTGCGTGGTTAGATGTTCGTGCGCCAGAAACGGATCGGAAGTCTCGAGGTGCGATCCCACGTTCCACCAGCCTTGAGGCATGGCGGCTGCCGCTTCGGTCAATGTCGCTTGAATGTCCATCGTGGTCCGGTGTTTGACGCCGTCTGCATCACCGCTTCCATTGCGGTCGTTCACCCGGCCCGCGACGATGGACACCACTCGTCTCAGGGCCCGCATTTTGATATCCACTGATATTGTCGACGCTGCTCCGCCTCCGCTTCCTTGACTGGGGGTCGTCTTCTGGCCCTGGCTCTCGCCCTTCAACACGGCCATCGCTAGTTGATCTGTAAATTTGACGTCCTCGGCGTGTGGAAAGCCCAAGACCATACTCATGAGCCGGTCGAGTTCCATGATCGAGCCGATGAAGCGCTGTCGGTAGAAGAGCTTGGTCAATTCCCGTCCGCACACCTTGGGTGCATACTCGCCCAGACCGTCGCCGAGCAGCGGCATCTTCGGTTCCGTGAATCCTGTGTCCTTCGCGATTTCCAGCGCTCTACGGATGCACAACCAAGACTTGCGCAATTGGTTGCTCTCGGCGAACATTTTGGCGCGGATCATCAAAAGCAACAGCACGCCAGGGTCGCGGGTGTGTTTGTGTTGGGACGTCGGACAGAGGACGATTGTGTCCACCGCCAGCACTATTCGGTCGGCGAGGTCGGACGGAGATGCAGAGATGTTGAGTTTTGCATCGTCGACGCCCGGGCGCAGTTGGTAGAGCGACATTGCGACACAGAGGAGGCCCGTGGCAAGCGACACGGGTTCTTGTGAGTGAGACAGTTTGGTGAGCACGAAGTCCCGGAAGGACATAGGTGCGTCGGAATGGTGGCCCCTTATTCCCAAACTCGTACCTGAATCTGGTCTTGTTGAAGAGGACGTGGTTCCCGTTGCGTTGCTGTGTAGTGCAGGGGCTATACACTCCAAAGTCGAACTCTCTTGTCCCTGTGTCTGCTGCTCCTCCTCGTTGTCATCCTTGGAAAATAGAGAGACAGTCACGTCCTGCATCGCGACCGCCTGGTCCCTCCACGCAATCCACCATTTAACGGAAATATCCAGCACCTCGAGCACATGTGGTTCGCAGGAGATTGTCGAGAGCAACTTTTCGGCATCCGTCGCATCATCGGTGTTGTCGGAAAAATTCATCATTTCAATCTTCTCCGCCAGGATTGCGGTACTACATGGCGTGGTGCGCGTAAACATCTCGTTGTTAAACAACTGTGAAAGCAAGGGGCTAAGGGTCTTGCTGCTCTCTTCCAAGGATGTTGCAGCAGTTGTGGGACAGACGTTTGTTTTTCCGGGAAAATTTCCTGATTCCTGGAGTTCCTCCTGAACTGGAAGGAGTGGGTGAGTGTTGAACACGGACGAAGCTGACCCTACTCTGTTTCCCTTTTCCTGTCCCAAAAAGTCGTGTGGCCGGATCCGCCTAGAGTCGCCTCCCAGGTTATTGGCGTTGAAATAGACGTCAGTGGTCCCATTTTCGAAGTCAAAGTCGAAATTCAAGGCGCTGGCGAAAGCGTTTCCGGGATTGAGACCAATGTCTCCACTTAGATCGAAACTCGGATTCAGCTCGTGTCCGTTGTCTAGGTCCGACGTCGACCCAAGCCCTGCAGGGCCGCCCAAGAAAGCAACGTTATTGCTTTGGGATTGATTTGAGCGATCAGTGAGCACCACTCCGCCGTGTTGCCTCACCTTCTCCCGCTCTCGCGCAAGCCGCGCGACCATGGAATCCATCCTGTCCACGTGGATCTTCACCCGCGGCTGCTCGTCGTCGTCGGAATGATTAGTCGACGACCGCATCTCTCGTCGCCTTTTATAGATCCTCGGTTGACGCTGGCTCGGCTTCAGGGAAGTCGAGACGCCCGTTGGGCCTCTTTGGGCCGAAGTGTCCAAGGCGACGAAGCCTTGGATTTGGCACGTGCGGTCGTGTTTGCTGCACTGGATGCATTTTCTCTCCTCCGACGCCATCGCCCCTGTCATGCTCGGGACTTGTGAGGGAGAAGAAGGTGGTGTGGGCGGGTAGCTGCATTTTATCTTGCGGCGGCGACCTTGGTAATTAAATTTTGTATTAGATTGGTTGTTAACAATCGGTCTTGGTTTTTTGGCGTGTAGGAAATCGACAGACCAGCGGTTCAACCTAGAAGATTGAAGGAAATGCAGGATTGAAAAAAGATAGAGACATGAGAACTTGAACGGAGAAGATCCACTCGAATCTGTCCAAGGACTGAAAATGGATGAGAGTTGAAAGAGCCTTTAGAACGGAGCTCTCAAACTCGGATCACTTTGAGCCTTTCTGCCCTCCCCGCCTTTATCTTGGGAGACCTAAGCACGGGAATTGCCCAACGGTTTCCGGAATACGATAGACCTCTCATTAGCGAGAGGAAATGGAACAAGGGCGTGCCAGGGCTAGGAGAAATACCCAAAGTATAAATGGAGCAAAAAGCAAGAATAGGTGAACAGATATCCCGAGAGGAGCAGAAATACGAAGTGTACTTACATTCCTGACACGACTTTGTGCCCTTCCTCATCTGCCTGAGCGGCGCCGGAGGATATTCATCCAGGCCATTTTGAAGGGAGATCGACTCGTTTGCAAGCATCGCTTTCTTGCTCTAAAACTCTAGCCTTCGGACAGGCTGCCTTTGAGAACGGGGACTGTCACCGTCACGCTTGAAGCTCGAGTTTCGATGATTGCGGCGCTGGGGTTCCAGGTGAGATGGGATGTACAGACGGCATACATAGGACTCGTAATGCGTTTGATTGTGTAGACAGGTGTAATTAATCAATGATGCAACGGGGGGGGGGGAAAGACCAGGTGGAGCAATCGCCAAGACATTGACTTCGCAGGTGGGAGCCTCGTCAGCCTCGCCGCGCCGCCATTGTTGCTCCGTCCATTATTAAGCGACTTGGCGGTATCGCTTGGCACAACCCACCCCAACCGGCCCTACGTTCAACATCAACATCAACATCCATACCCCTTCTTATCGTCCTCATTGACAGAGTCCTCCCTATACTCCTCCACCCAGCCTTCATCCTCACTCTCGCTCGGACTCTCGTCATCACCCTCCCTCGTCTTGCCTGCCTGGCGACTCCGATGCCGACTTTGGCTCCGGCTCCCGTCACCGGGGCGGCTCTTGCTCCTCGTCCGTCTCTCATCCCTCCACCTCCCTCTCCTCTCCCCCCTTCTACGTGACTCGCTCCTCTTGACTTCATCAACATCGACCTCCGGATGCATGCGTCGTATGTGCTCGTAGAGCCTTTTACCCTTTGAGAAAGGCATCTTCGCTCGTGGGCATGTTTGAACAGGGCAGAGGATTTGGCGCTCTGAGTCCTCGTTTGATTCATCGTCAGCATCGAAGTCGGTATAGGCACTGTTGGCGCCAATACTGGCATTTCTCGAGCCTGGTCCTCTCTCGATCGCTCCGGAGCCACCTGTCCCTGTCTGCCCGTGCATGCTGTTGATGTGCCGCTGGAGGTGCCATCCTTTCCGAAATGGGACCTTATGTCTCGGGCAGGTCCGGTATGGACAGGTCCGCTCGTTTCTGACCACGTCTACCTTGATTCCCGAGCACGCGCTCCGAGTCTCCCGACAATTCCTGCATGTTCTTGAGAGTCCAGGCTCGCCGTCCGCAGGCCGGCATTCAACCTTCGTGGCTAGACACCTTTCGCAGGGTCTGGAGGTGCGCACTGCGAGTGGCTCATCTCCGTTGGACTCTGTCTCTTGTTCTCCCATTTGAGATGGCGCTAGGCTCCCGGTATCGTTGGCAAGTTGCTCGGTAAAGTGCGATTCACTTCCTTCCTTGCCCTGTCCCTCGTAGAATGTGCGGAACAGCATCGTCTCGCCAAACAGCTTCGCACATCGTCCACTCGCCCGTTCGACGACCGAGGAATCCCAATCTGTCAGGCTAGCCATGCCTATCACATCGCTCCAATCCCGTAAGCCGAGATTCTCGACTCTCCGAGACCGCGCACGAGATGTAATCGAGGTGGTGGAGGCGCTCGATAAGTCGGTATATGCGGACGATGAACGTGCCTTCTGCCTTAATGCTGGACGCGACCCGCTTCTTCCTCGAGAGAAATCACTTGTGTCGTCTCCAGGACTATGAGAATTCTTCCCCCTTCGGTTGCTTTGTGACTTCGCCGCGTAGGCGTATCTTGCTTTATGGAGACCGAGCAGCAAGTCATCGACTTTCCTTAAAATGTGCCGTGCGCTGGCGAGAAAGTATCCGCGTGCTTTTTCATCATCTGCGAGTGGAACGGGGCGTCGCTCCACATCATCCGTGTCACTGCCCCTTTTCTCTTCGCCGCCCGAGACGGGACCTTTTTCCTGGTCATCGTCGGAAAAAGAAAACGCTTGGGAGTAGAACACTGGTTCCTCGGTAGTTTCCGGCAAGTGGAGGGCCTCTGCCTCTTCTGCTACTTCTTGATGATCGTCGTCGTCGTCGAGTACATCTTCAGGCGCGCTCACATCAACATCTCCGTAGTCGACTTTCGTATCCCAATCCAACGAGACGGCTGAGGTCAGGTCTTCTTCCCATTGCCTCGCATTCCATCTTTCTCTAGCAATCCGCGTAGCAGTTGCAATCAGCCACTCTTCAAGATTGGCACTGGGTCGCGTCTCTCCCTTCACGCGATATTCGCCCTCTAATACTGTACGGGGGAGTAATTCTTCCCTCGGGACCTGATCAGGAGGCATAGGCCAGGCCGTCCAAGATTTGGAAAGACCGTATCTGCCTCCGTTGCCCCGTCCAAGGAGTCGCTCGTCATCACACTCGGCTGCCGTCGAGAGGATGGATGATGCTCTTTCCTTGCCCTTCTTGCTCCGCTTTGCTTCTCTCCCACTCTGCTGGCCTAACTTCCGCTTCAGCCCGAAAGCGTTGAACAGGTGAATACTCAGATCCTGACTGCGCACACGATCCAAGCTGAGAGCCACAGTCCTTTCCACCTTGGTCCAGGAATTCCAGGTCGACGCGGCGCCGAAGAAGCGGTTAGGGCGAGTAAAGTATGTTTTGCCATCTTCTCCTTGTGCAAACGGGTTGTCTGATATTACATACGGGACGGTCCGTGAGGCTGTCGAAGATGCTGGAGGCGATGTGTTAATGTCCAGAGCATCGGGGCGGTGTTGTCGAGGTGGCGATGATGGGAACACTTGACCAAGCGGTGATTCGTTGTTGCCGGCGTCCTCGACGTAACTGGAATCTGAATCCATTCCGAGGTGCCCAAGAGTAGTTCATCACTAAAGTCTTGCTTCCGAGTGCGAAAGTTGCTGGTGTCCTACACAGAACACTGAGGGTGAGGAGCATAAATTTGAAAATTTTATCGCGAGATAAAACAATAGCGTAGTTGTAAGCCGAGGAGGCGTGGCTTCCAGGTTAAAGTATATCTACAGGTACATAGTACAGGATGGAAAAGGAAGGTCACCAACGCTATACTTGTTACATGATTGCTTGCATGTTAAATGTGTCATTGGATGGCACAGCCGCTCGGATCATCACCGCTTTTGTCTTTTATCAACGCCAGGCCAGGGTATCTCAAGTCTAAGCAGCGTATCCCATATCTACCAATTTCAGTCTCAATCCCGCAAAAACATCTTGTAAGTGGGATTCTCTGTACACTCCCGAAACGGATATCCAATATCCCTTAAGAAGTCCTCCAGTTTGTCCCTCTCCTGTTCAGGACATTGAATGCCTGCAAGTATCCTACCCACATCGCCACCGTAGTTCCGGTAGTGGAAGAGCGTGATGCTCTGTCCCGGTCGCAGCGTCCTCAGGAACTTGAACAGCGCTCCCGGTCTCTCCGGGAATTCAAACATGTACAACCTCTCATCCTTGACGCCGGATCGTCCACCGACAAGGTATCGAATGTGTGTCTTTGCCAGTTCATCCTCGGAGAGGTCTTTGGCTGTCATGCCTTCGGCTGCAAGCCGCGAAAAGAGTGAATCGAGTTCTCGCGTTCTCGCGCCTGCTGAGGAGACTGTGATGCCCATCATCACATGTGCTTTATCGGTGTTGGAATACCTGTATCCAAATTCTGTTACAGCTTGGGGGAGGACGGCCTCAACAAGCTGTGCAAATGAACCTGGACGTTCTGGAATGGTGACTGTCAGAAGAGCCTCTTTCTGTTCACCCAAAGTCGCGCGCTCGGCAACAAATCTTAGCCGATCAAAGTTCATGTTGGCGCCGCTGGCCACTGCGACCAATTCTCGGCTGGTATCTGTAGAGGGATTCTGAGCGACCCATTTCTTTAGGCCTGCCAGTGACAAGGCTCCCGCTGGCTCCAGGACTGATCTCGTGTCTTCAAAGACGTCCTTGATAGCGGCACAGATCTCGTCGGTGCTGACCTCGATAACTTCGTCGACCACTTCTTGACAAAGCCTAAAGGTCTCTTCCCCTACTGTCTTCACGGCAGCACCATCGGCGAAGAGACCAACTTCTCGAAGCAACACTCGCTTGCCCAACTTCAGAGACTCGACGAGTGCGTTGGCGTCGGAGGCTTCCACGCCAATGATCTTGACGTGAGGAGCTATTCTCTTCACGTACACCCCAATGCCAGCTATCAACCCGCCACCGCCCACGCAGCAGAAGATGGCCTGAAGCTTCTGCAAGGATGTCTGCCTTAGCAGCTCCATGCCTATTGTGCCTTGTCCCGCAATGACATATGGATCATCAAACGGGGGAATATTGGTCAAACCGTACTGTTTCTCCAGAGCATGACAGTGTTCTTTGGCCGAGTCAAAGTCCGGCCCATGCAGCACCACGTTGCCCCCCATGCGGCTCACATTCATATGTTTGATGGCTGGGGTCCCTTGCGGCATGACAATGGTTGCAGGAATCTTCAGATGTCGGGCAGAATAAGCCACACCCTGGGCATGGTTCCCCGCCGAGCAAGCAATAACACCTTTCCATGAGATCTTGGGTGGAAGGTGAGCCATTTTGTTGTACGCGCCTCGCAACTTGAAAGAGAAGACAGGCAGGAGGTCCTCTCTTTTCAGGAGGACTTTGCATTCGAGGCGGTTGGAGAGGTTGACGGCGTGGCTCAGAGGGCTTTCGCTGACCACGTCGTAGACTCGAGAAGTTAGGATTAGCCGCAAGTAGTCTGGATAGCCCGAGGGCAGGAGGAAGTCTCGAGGCACGTCGTAAGAAGGGATGTCTGCTCGTTCGGAGGGAGGTGTGGGCATGGCGGTGTACTCGGTCAAGGCGAGGCCCGATCGCTTGGGCGTCGAGGGAGTTGTCGTCCCGTTGACGTGAGGGTCGGCGGCGTCCATGGCGACGTTGCGATAGCTGCAGCTCCTGGGTTTCGATATGGGCGAACTGTCAAAGGTGGCGCTGTCAAGTAGGTTAACATGCGCACCGTAGGTTGGCGAGTGTGGGATTTTCATGCCGCCCAAAAATTTACGGAGCTCAAGATCCCCGTCCCCGCATTCGCATTTGGCCTTTTCTTGGGAGGGTTAGAATACTCGTTAGATATCTTGTGCCTGCGATAGCTCCATATTGAGGTCCTCAAGAAGCACCCTTCGCTTATTTTCCTTTCGGGGATCATTCTACAGCTCAATTGCTGCAAGTCAGGTGAGCTGGTCTCAATAAACTGCAGCAAAGACCCAGTTGTGGCGAACGCGCAGGGAAAACCGACTGCGCTGTTCATCTGAGCTCCCCGAAGAGCCCGCACGCGAGCATATTTCCACCCACGTCACGACTTTCAACTTCGGCTTCTCTCCTTGGATTCATACGACGCCCTGCACAGCACTCCCATCCATCAGAACCCATCTCGCTCCCAACCGCAGTGTTGATTCCATGTTGGCCTAGCCTCCAAGGCAATTTTCACAATGTCCAACGAGTCATCTGAACCCTCCCCTCTCTCCGCCTCCGCCGTCCCATCCAGCTTCGACTCGTCGCCCGAATTCTTCGAAGAATCCCGCTTTCAAAAGCTCTGGCGCAAACTGCGGCAGGAACCACTCATCCCCCTGGGCTGCGTGGCAACATGCTACGCCCTGTACATGGCGACCAAATCCATCCGTGCTGGCGACCACCATCAGACGAATCGCATGTTCCGAGCGAGAATCTACGCCCAGGGCTTCACGTTGCTGGCCGTGGTCGCGGGCAGCATTTTCTACAAGGATGAGAGGATGAGGAGGAAGGAATTCGAGTCCAAGTTGGAGGAGAAGAAGAACGCCGAGAAGAGAGAGAAGTGGTTGGCAGAACTCGAGGCCAGAGACCAGGAGGACAAGGAGTGGAGGGAAAAGATTGAGAAGGCGAGTCGAGTCGCGAAGGAGACGAGTGAGGATGTAAAAGACAAGGCGGACAAAATGATTCAAGGGGGAAAAGAGGAGCTGCAGAAGGCACAGGAGCAATTGACCCCCGCCGATGCTGCTAGACAGGACAACAAGAAGAAGAGCAGCTGGGCCCTCTGGAACAAGAGCGTGCTGGAGGAGGTCAATGACGATGGCTGGGGTCCCGGGATGTGGGCGAGGAGAACGAGAGATGCTTGGAAGCGATTCTGAAAGAGTCATCGAAAGCCTTCAAAGAGACGGTCTCGGATGCGAAATTCATGGTTGTCGCCACTCCTCTTTTGACACAGCTTTGTTTGTACGAAGCTGAAATATATTGCTGGGCATAGCTATGGGCAGGAGCTTCAGATTGCGAAGCCTACGTCCAACGGCCCTCGCCGGATCTGTGCGAGATCCTCCTGTTTCCGAGTCTAGGACGTCTGGTTCTTCTTTTGGTGTAGCAACATCCGTCCGCGATCTTGACTTTTCGCGGCACTGGCGATGATGTTTCTAATCTTGCTGATGCTTGCGCCCCACGTATTCTTCTGATATCGTTCGCAAAGAGAGCGAGGTGACAGAGCCCAATCCCTTGCATTTGACTATTAGACCAATTTGCCAGAAATGGCGCCATTGACTGGCGCGCTTTGATCATGTCGCCATTACCGGCTTTCGATGTTTGATCTGAACGCACGGAAAAGCATCGATGAGTCCGTCTTTCTCTTTCTCTTTCTCTTGTAGAACGAAAAAATGGGGGCGGATTCATTTATATCACGATTGAACAAGCGGGTCTTCTTTTTCTTGGTGACCATTTGCTCGACGGCTCAGCCTCTCCCTCGAGCAGGACCCGGTCCCATCTCCTCCACGCCTCTCCTGACACCGTCCCACTCCGCCTTTCCCGTACTGATCAGATACCTGATCCTGTCGATTTCCCGCACGTCTTTGTTCCTCGTGAATTCGCCCTTCGCGTACGCAATGCTCTCTCCCCTCTGGGGCTCGGACATGTGCCGGTACAAGGAGCGGAGAATGTCGCGGTAGAGGGCGAGGACGCGCTGGCGCTGGATAAAGTGGTCGAGGGAAAGGGGTGGGGATTTCTGGAATCGCGGCGACGACAACGTAGCGGACTTGATGGCCTTGCTGGAGGGATTGGTGGTAGTCGCAAAGCGGACGAAATGTGGGCGCATATGGGAGATTGTTTGGGGGAGAATTGAAACCGCTTGCGGATAACGCCAGGAGGCAAAGAAAGGGAAGAGTTCTGGCGTCACGTCTGAAGCAGGGTATTGCTTAGAGCTTCAAAGTTAATATAGCAAAGGCATCCAGCAAGAAACGTTCTTGGGACCGTCTCGCTGAGCGGCGGAGATATCGTGTTCCGCTAATGGCAACCTCCAGGGCTGCTGGAATGACGCATGACGCCATTCTGGGAGGACTCAGCCTTGCGGACTTCAGTCTCAATAATTACTCCGTACGGTGTGTACGTTAATGGACATACATGGACTTCTTTCAGGCGAAATGAGCTGCTCTATTCCCTAGCGCTTGAAACCTAGCCCCCCATCAGGATTGTAACGGTTCCCTTTCCTTTTCACTCTGGCCTTACAATTACCCAAAGCGTGGTCCAGCATCTCCTGGTCCACTCCGTCTGCTCCAGAAGAGACCGAGCACTCCCGTTTTCCTCAGAGCCTATGCTCCCTACACCGATTGCAAGCCTGAGTTAGGCATTGACGGCATTCGGAGATATAGTTGTGCAGGTTGTGGAAACACTCCTTACAATTGCGTGGGCCAGGAATGTATAAGTGTACAGTTGTGCCGTTCTCTCAGCATGTTGGTCGCATTGCGAACCCCCTCCATCCGCCTGGGAGTGTCAAGGGGGCAGATTGGGGACATCACGATTAACGAGAATATTGGCTCGTGCAAGTAATCTGTCTTCATTTCACTGGTCACAGCCACATTGTTTCCATGGAATTCCGCAAACGTAGCAGAATTGTGCACCACATCGGCATCTTTAATTGGATCAGCGATGCTATTTACGAAAAGACGGAAGAATACTCACATTATGTTATTGCAGCCGACGTCAAGCTCGATCAGACGATGACAACCATAGGACCGTTGCCATCCGCTCTGATTTGCAAGCTGGAGCGTCTCCTGGAGTTCAGGGCCTTTGGGCAATGGCCGTCATGAGTTGGCTTTTCGCAAATATTGCAGGTAAGTGTACCACACTTTTCACAGGTTGCTGTATCGCCATCAATTTCGCTCGGAGGTGTGAAAGTAGAGCAAGTCTCTAGACAGCAGAGGGTTCTATCGGGAGTGCCAAGTTCAACTTTAGTATGTTCAAATTGGTCTTTGAACTCCTTGGTGAGGAAGATGTTGACTTCACTCATTTGAAAGGGCTCACGACAACAACGCGGCGGGAGCAATGACTCGTCTTTGGAGGTGAGATCAACAAGGACTTGCAAACATGGTTTGCACTAGCCACGGCCACAGGGTACCTAGATAACGTCGAAGAACTTCTTGACCTCGTTGCAAGGCAATGCATTGGAGCTCCCTTGTTTCGTTGAGTTCCTGCTTACGAGCGGATCTTTGCACAGAATCTTCTTCCTGATAATTCTGATCTGGCTCACAATCTGCCCTAGCTCTTGCGTCCTTAAACAGCCCATAGCCGACGTCCTCAGACATGTATCGTCCAGCAGGTTTCGCAAGGATCTTTACATTCAGGTCACCGGGCTGGACGTGGACTTCGGAGGCGACAGCGGTTTCGTTTAGGCGATGTGCCAATGCGTGGTCTTCACAAGCAGGCTCTTCTTCACTGACAACATTCGCAATGGCCTCACCATCCGCTTGTACAGCATTCGCGATGCTTTGGGTCATTTGTCGGTGAGACCAAATTGAGCGCATGCCTTCGAGATTCTCCTCAAGCAATGACAGTGCCATCTGGGCAATGTTGAGCACGCCATTTCGGTTCTTGTCTTTGGAGCAAGCACGGAAGTCTTCGATGTCTTCGAGTCGGAGCTTAAGGCTAAGGTCAGCAGTCTTGGCGTCTGGATTATCAAGTGCAATAGTATGTTCGGTCATCTTGCAAAAATTCACCATGCTTAGCTGTCGCGAGGAGAGGAGGAGAGATAGAGCACGTATGGTAAATGACAGGAGAAGCCATGAACTCCCTTTAACACACCCATCTTTGTCATTCTTGGGCCGGTGCATGATGTGAACAGCATCTGATTCGGCGGTGGAATGCAGATAGGTATCCTCCGAGCCCGTCGTTGCGTCCCTGGCCATCTCCTATTCAGGCTTATGTCACTGAACAGAGACCATTTTCAGTTCGCAGTGGCGATAAATGTAGTAGCTGACAGCGATTAAGAGCACTCGCATAGCCTTAGATAATATTGTGAAGACATAGACAGTCTGCGTTCACTGTACTTCGGCTTTGTCGAACAGATGACGACAGTCGATTCTATCCTTGTGATGGCGGATATCAGTCAGCCCATTGATTGCTGGTTGAAATTTGGCCGGTACAGGTCTCTTCCATTGAAGTATGCTGAAGCCTTCCGAGTAGAAGTGGATATTCTATCTCACTGGCAAAAGTCCGCTAGCTTGAGGATGGGTATAGGTCGGGGGCGTGTCGTGGCCATCGGTAATTCGGGGGATCCCTTGATGAAATATGCTGAATTAGCAATATGGACCATAACCAAAATCTAAATCAATGGAAAGTGTGTTGAGTTATTCTCGGAGTCTTCAATCCGCCTCAAAGGTAAGCCTCAGGTATGTATCGACCGCCATGCAAACAACGGATTCCCATCTTGCGAGTTGATGGAGTTGTTCGCAGTGCCCAGGCTGATATCACTTTCATGAGACTACCATTAAAAGTGGTGGTATGAAACTGGTGGAAATTAGATACCAGTGAAATTCAACATCACTTGATTTTCTCCATCTTCACCGTTCCAAGATTCCAGACCTCAGCAGACTGATGAGAGATTTTTTTACCTTGAGGCTGAGCTTCCCAGCACTCTAATTTGCTAAGAATCACAGGACAAGGCTGAGGAACCAAGCTTTTGGCGAACCACTGCAGGGCGCATCCTGGAATGTGGCAATTAGTCACATTCGCAGGCCTGTTTTCATATTGCTGAATTGGTTCCCCGGCTATCCTAGGCACGGCGGTATCCGCGGCGGTAACACAGAGAGATTGAGGGGCACCAAGGGGGATAAATCGGACGCAGAGGAAGAAAAGGCTGCATAATAATCCTATGGAATTTGGACGACGGGCAAAAGCCTGGGAAAATCGGTCTGTCAGTCCCAATCAGACAACTCATGACTGCAGAGATAAGGAACAGACAATGGCCCTTTGGTCGAAGCCGTGTTTACCAGACTTGATCGAACCCTTGGGGAAGGGGGTTGCACAAGTGCCCTGATCAACCCGGTTATTGAGCCTCACAAATACGAGGAGCATGCAGGAACTTTGAGGGCCTACTGGTAGGCAGCAGGAGAGAATCTGGGGGTGACTGTGACTGGTGACTGGCGATGACTGGTGACTTGGTTGTGTCGTTTCTTTTGCCGTAGAATTTTCGTTGCCGAAGCGAGACCACGTCGGCGCCAGGGAAAGAGGAAAAGGGAGGATAGGGTCAAATGACGCAACAAATAACCGGGGGTACAGAGGAGAAGGAAGGGGGGTAGACAGGGCTGGTGGGCGGACAGGAGGGAGCGCAAGGAGGGGCGCCTACCACCTGGGGAGCCCCCAGGCACTCCCAGGCACCCCTGCCATCAGCCTACCAGACCTGAAAGGAAGCAGCCAGCAACACCTCCAACTCTCGCCAGAAATCCAAACTCTCACATGTTGCCCAGCTGAACCACTCACTAGACCAGCTCCATCTCGTGCAGTCTCCATCTTCTTCCAATCCTCCCATCTTCCCAAATCACACAGCCAACCGTGTGCCGCCTAACACACCCTTGAGTCCCTGGTGCCCGGGTGGGTCGTTGGGCTGCAATATGATCTCAACTCTCAGGGTCGCCGCGGCATTGTCCTGCTGATTTCCCAAGAGGCAATTCTTTCATACTGGGTATATGTACCTGCACACCTGCGGCTCCAGACTCTTTCCTTTTCAGCTTTCTCCTTCCCCCCTCGACTCCATTAATACACCATGTCTTCCCACGACGACTATGCCCCACGCCCACGTCGAGATCGTCCACGATACGATGCCGACGGCGGTCTCCGCTATCCAGATGACGATGGCTATGCCGACCATCGAAAGTCGGCTCCACGCCACCCTCGCTACGAGTCATCCCCTCCACCCATTGACCCTCATGACGGGCCACGACGCAAGAGAGACGTTGATCCTCGAGACATTGAGCCCAAACCCGCTCGCGATGTGAAAGATGACCCTCCCCGATATCGCGAGGATGGTGATGCCAAACCAGGCAAATCCAATACTGCGGCTCCAAGGAGAAGACGAAGCTTTGACGATGATGACGACGCCGCTCGTCGTAATCCCAGAAACGGAAACGGAACGGGCGTAGCCTACGGCCGCTCCAAAGGATACCGCGAGCCCATCCCAGAGCCAGACGTCGTTGCAGCTGACCGTGAGAACCACAAAGCTCGACCGGCCCGGCATAGAGATTATGATGATGATTTTGAACCCCCTCCACCTCGTCGCGCCAACACCCAGAGAGAACCAGACCGTCGTCGTCGAGACGATCCTCCTTATGAAGACGAGCCACATCGGCCCCGTCGTCATCGCAGTCCGGAAGATAGACACTCGGACCGCGAGCGAGGATATCGATCTGACCCTCGCGATGCACCAAGACACAGGAGGGATGACGATCGTTACGATGACCGGAGACACCGTGGCGGTGGTGCCTCCCGCCGTGACGAAGGCTATGCGTCGGATCGGGGACGCTCTGACCGAGATCGGATGAGGGATCATGATCGCGATCGCGATCGTGACCGAGACTACCGCGACCGGGACCGCGACCGGGACCGAGATCGAGACAGGGATCGCAGGCGCTACGATTCTGACCGCGAAAGAGATCGACATCGAGACCGGGACAGAGACAGAGATCGGCACGACAGTCGAGACCGAGACCGAGATCGAAGGGACAAGAAAAAGGGGTTCTCACTCGACAACATCAACGACCTCGTCGAACAAGGCCAGAAACATTACAAGACTCTAGCACCGGTGATCACCAGCCTGACCAAGATGTACATGGACAACAAAAAGTAAACGAGAGGCAACGCTGCTTACGGGAGCGAGTTGAGAGGAGGAATCAAGGTTGGACATGAAAAGAATGATTCGCATTCTGGTAATGCGATGGAGATGCGGGCAGAGCGAATGCTGGTGAATTGCCGGCAAAATGATACAACCGAAAGGGGGAAGCAGGGCTAAATGCCCCTTGTATCTTCGACGACAACGAGATATGCCGAATGACCCAGGGTGTAGAAGAAGAGAAGAGGTGCAAATTGTACGACTGTGAAAGCTGGGCTCGGGCCGGAGTTTCCCTTCTTTTGGGAATGGACATGTACGACTAGGACGATTTTGCTGTACTTTTTGCTGAAATGTGCGACCACGGGAATCACCAACAGCGCTTGTAGGGCACGGGTGGGCGGATGACTTGGGAGGATACGTTCAGTTAGTTCTGTCTATGTTACGATTCAAATGCAATCAGCTCGATTTCCATTCTAATACTCGGTCCCGACACCAGTACCAACATCAACTTCACTAGCATTGAGCCATTCAAACGAAGGTCTCGCTCTCACATTGGAAAGTTCGCCGTGAGGGAGAAGTAGGTCACATCAAGGACAAATGGACAATATTACTGGTACGTGGAAGAGTTGGAAGAAATGGTGCGTCTTTGGCTGGCTGGCCGGCGCGCTAGTAACTAATTAGCTGACTTGACCGACTGACTACAACCTGCCTAGGTAACAAGTAAAGACTGGCTTGACTGGGGCCTCTGGATTTGATCTTGCTCTCCTCTCTCGTCTCAATTACCAAATCTCAACTTGCAATCCCGGCGGGGAAATAAGCTCTGAGATGCGTATCATTCCCTACCGTCCGTCAGAATAATCGACGCTCCCGGGTCACCCTTGCACATCCGCCTCGTTTACTGCCCCGTCTTGAGGACGAACGGCGGCCCCGCCCTTTTAGACGAGGATGGCCAAGGCCGCGCATGGGTTGTATGTCCTTTTGCCCCCTGGATGGCTTAAGCCTTGACGACGTGAAAGCCCGTGAAAGCCGGCAGCACGGCCCGGATCTCCTTGACGTACTCCGGGATCCCGCCCGCGTAGTTGACCTGCTCAAACGCCTTGCCTGGAACACTTCCACCCATGTCTGGCAAGGATTGGTTAGCATGTGGCCGCGTGTCTATTAGTACCGTTGGGGATAGGGGGTCGGGAAAGCGTAAAGAAACTCACATGTACTCCTCGTGGTTGGCAGCAATGTCATGTTGCTCAACTCGTTGATGCGGTCCTTCCACTTCTGGCTTGCTTCTTGCGTGGCGTTGATGTATTTAATGTTTTGACGGTCAATGTCTTTGATGGCGTCGCGGATCCAGCGACCTTGGACCTCGACGCTGGACGGGCCGTTGGAGAGGAGGGTTGGGCCGTGAGGACCTATATCGATAGGGCGTCAGTTGATTTGTAACCTAATTCGGAAGTCTTCTTTGAGGAGAGGAGTGTTTGCAGGGACAATTGACTCCTTAGGGCGCAATCGACGCGTCCTGCTCAGAAGACGGACAGGGGTCCAGCTACCCACCGTAGAGATGGAACATGTTCGGGTATCCTGAGATGGTGGTTCCCAAGTAAGTGTAAGCTGCTTCCTTCCATTCGTCGTGCAGCGTGGTGCCGTGGATGGACTTCAATCCCATGTTTGTCATTCCTCCGGTCGTAATATCAAAGCCCGTCGCCAGGGCAATAATGTCGAATTCATGGTGCTTGCCGTCGCTGGTCTTGATACCCGTCTCGGTGAACTCCTGAATCTTGTTGCCGGACTTTTCGGAGATGTCTACAATATCCACATTGTCGGCGTCTAGGACTTCGTAGTAATTCTGTTCGAGACAGGGTCGCTTGACGCCGAATGGGTGTGGGG